TGACATCTTATCGCTCTTTACCACCCGAGTGGAGATGGATTGTTGATACAATATTAATTTCCCCGGGTCAACTCCTGCTCACATGTTTGCTAAATTGCTATATTTCGTCACTTTTGTTATTAGCACTTTGATGTGATTGACAGCTGCCATCTGCATGAAAGTGAGATTCGAGGCCAAGGCAAAAACTAGAGGTTTTTTTCTCTCCCTCCTCTCCTCTTCGCAACTCATTGTCGCTGCTTCACGGCTTGCTCTCTCTTTCGCCAAGAAAAATTTCAAGAAAACCTCTAGGATCAGGGTGTGAACTAAGGTAGGTGTCAAAATTCCTCTTCCTTTCTCTTTTTGTTTTCAACTATGGTTTGCCCCTAAGCACAGCTGATTCCACTGAGTTTCGCATCTCAGTGAATAGTAGTAGCCTGCTAGTAGTAACAGGCCTCTGTCTTCCATTTCCTACACTAACACTGATAATTCAATGGACTGCACATTAATGCACAAGGGCTAGGAGTGTACAGTGAAAACTGCTTTATGCATCAGTCAATTCCAATTTTATTGAGTTAATTAATGAGTGTCTTTGTGGGGATGTTGAGACACTAGGAGAAAGGTTGTTATTTTCGTAAAATCTTATGCTTGATATATATTCATTTTTCTTTGTGGACAAAGATGCTTAAGGTAACTTTGCCTTTGCTGACTTCTGTGTTCACATCAAATGTATGTATACTTTACACATGTAGTTAAGAAATATTGAAACAATGGCCTCAGTTGCTTGGTTTGACTCTGACAGTGGAGTAAAGCCAGTAGATTTTATTTTCTTAGAGAAAAGACAATGCAATGCTGACTTCATGTAACAAACCGTACTTTGAGCACAAAGGCAATTCTTTCTAGAAAAATGATTTTAGCGGGACATGAAGAGCATGTTAAAATTAGGTGCCCTGTAAAGCTTCAGCTGTGTGTTTCAAAAGTATGTAGTGACTGCGGCAGTCAGTGAAAGTAAGAAGGATTTGCCTGTATGGGGACATGGGGACAACTGTTGCTCCTCAGTCACAGTGGAGTGTTTTTCCATACAAATCCTTGTACATATTGTACGTTTTTAAATTTTTTAACTGTCATAAAACCTTTCCCTTATGCATTATAGGCCTAAAATTTTGGTATGTCCGTGACAGAAAAGCCCTCTAAAGTCTCTAATTTTCTTTTTGTTTTGGTTTTTTTTTTAAAAAGCCGTTTCATAAAATAATCTCAGGAAGTGATGGCAGCAGTATTTTTTTATATTTGGGGTGAAACTTCTAACAAATACCAGGGCTTCCGATAGGTCGGGGAAGAAAAAGTCAAATTTCGCGGGATTTTTGGAGACAAATTCGCGGAAAAATCGGCCGATTTAGCGGGAATTTCGCGGGAATTTTTGGGGCAAACCTCAACAAAAAGCAATCGTTAAAAAAGGGCCGATTTTGTGGTTATTTTCATGGCAAATTTCGCTAGAAATCGATCAGTTTTGGGCTGATCAGACCAGCATTTTTAACGTTTTTCTAACAGAGGTCATCATTTGCTCTTTCAACAATACGCTCCCGAAATGCACCAATGGCAAGGCCTTTAACATCATGGCTAGTGCCCAGTTTTTTGCAGCATACTTGACGCCTGGTAGTTTCGGGACGTTGTTTGCAGCGACGAATTCCAAGATAAATTTGCAAGTTTACGGCAAGTAAATAGCCCCTATAGCTGAAATAAGTTTCAAATATGTTGTACAGACATGTATTTGATAAGATTTCTACCGAATTTCGCGGTATTTTTCGTGTTTTTGTGAATTTCGCGGGATTTCGCGGATTTACCTGAATTTCGCGGCTCCGCGACCGCGCGAAATATCAGAAGCCCTGAAATACCCACCTTTTCTTGGGTTGGTGGAGGTGGGGTTTACATTACCTCCTGTGTAACAGGTTATCAATAACAATGACTTTTAAGTTTTTTTTAATCGAATTTGAAGATGCAAGAGAATACAACCTAAGTCACATTCTTTACTCTTGTGTGACTGCAGCTGAAAGTTGGTTTGAGGACAATAGTCTGGTTTTACCCAATTCTATTTTTGTGTTTTACCCAATTCTATTTTTGTGTTTTTTTAATGTACTTCACTCTCAGTCTGTTGCCATAGCATGTGTTTAAGTGAAAGCCAACTACAAAGATGAATGTATTTCACTCTCAGTCTGTTGCCATAACATGATAAATTTAAGAAATCAGTTGGCTCACATACAAATCCCCAAGCAAAATCCCTACCCCAAGGACTGATAAACAAAACATGAAAACTTAAGCGAAAAACTAAATAGCAAAGCACTAAGAAAAAAAAACATTGGAGACCGATTATTTTCTTCAGGAGGATTTGCGTAGAAAGCTTAAGAGGTGAATGGTCCTTAAACTCGCTTCAGCGCGAAAATATGCACAGACATTATGGGCTCCTGCAAATACCAAGGTCATCTTATCTTTCATAATGTGCCCTCGATTATGTAAAGGGTTCTAATGCACCTAAACAAAAAGATAACTCGAAGAAAGTTTCCAAGCTTTGATTTACTTTTGAATCCTGGTTACGGTGTGTCCATTTTCTTAACAAACAGTAGTCGTGCGCCATATATTAGCATGTAACTCGAATAGCGCCGTGACGTCAGTTTGAGGTCCTTGAGCCTTGGTAGATAAATCGTAGAGGAAGGAATTTTAAGTATTGTTAGCTCCGCAAGTAAAGTTATTTAAATCAAAGATAGTGGAGGAATACTTTCACTAAAAAGTGGCGGTACGTTCAGATTGTTAAGAAGAATCAATTTATAGGGAATGCGCATTTAGTAAAACAACACTTTATCTGGGACTGATTTTTCTTCTTGTTTTTGTAAGGTTTGCATACATGCAAGCACATAAGCTGTAATGGGAGTTTTAAGTGGAGACTGCTCCTTAACCTCGCTTTAGCGTGGAAATGTGCAGCTGCCAAGAGAAAATTAACTTTTCACGAAATCTGTCCTCGATGTTGTAAAGGGGATTTAATGTGCCTAAACAAAAACGGGATGCTGAGAGAAAGTTCTCTTCTGAATCCTGGTTTAAAGGTGTGTCTATTTTCTTAGCAAGAAGTTGTCGTGCACCGTGATGTTTACATGAAATTCTAAAAACAAACCTGACGTCAACTTATGCCTTTCTTAAACCTTTTTAGACGTAACTTTCAATTTTACGTATTTGAAACTCCCGGCAGGTTTAGCATTTTTAATTAAAACTGTATCAGTTCCCTAAAAAATGACATTCATTGGCAGCAATTTATGGGTGTCTACAAACTGTAGCTGAGACAGATAGTCAGTTTCTCTCGGAAGATTTGCGTGAAGCTTATCGAGAAGCTGTATTGAGATTTTTAGAGGTGACTCTCTCTTGACCTCGTTTGAGCAAAGAAATGCCGATGTCTATAGAAGATTTTTATTTTTCACGACACTTCTGGATTATCTTAAGGGTTTCAATAATCTGAAACAAATTAAAATGATTGTTAGACGAAGTGATCCACATTTTATTTTTTATTGTGATGTTGAATTTTTGTTACGCAGCGTCTATTTTCTTAACAAGAAGTTGTCGTTATGCACTGTTATTTTTACATGTAACTCAAATAATACCAACGTGACGTCAGTTTTGAAGTCCTAATGAACCTAGTCAAAAAAGTGCGGACCATTTTACGCATTGTGAACTCCCGGCAAGTGTAGTAATTTAAAACAAACCTAAGCACTTTCCCTAAAAAGTGAAAGTGCACTGTTCAGTAGCACCAATTTATAGTGTGATCTGCGTTCAAAAAATGAAACTGTAGCTGAGACTGATTGTTTTCTTTCGGAAGATAGAACTTTATTGTTATAAGTTTTAAGAGGCCGGACTGGCCCTTAACCTCGCTTTAGTGCGGAAATACATGTATGCAGGTGCGTAGAACCCAAGAAGATCATCCTTTCACGAAAACTGTCCTCTCGATTATTTAAGTGGGTTTAAGTGTTACTGAACAATAAACGATTTTCAGAGGACGTTTTCCATGTGTTTTCTTTCTTTTCTTTTTCCCTTTTACTTTCTTTTTTCTCTTGTTTTTTTTTCTGTCTTTATTTGACTCCTGATTACGCTGCGCCAGCTTTCATCACAAGAAGTTGTCATACACTGTTATATAATTCCAACACAATATAGTAACAATGTGACGTCAGTTTACTGTTCTTGAACTTCGCTAGACAAAACTTGTTACAAATTTAACGTACTGTGAGCAGGCAGGTATAATAATTTAAATCAAAACTAGTGTGGGAAGGTATAGGGTCCCTGAAAAGTGCCAGTGCATTCGGTGGCTATAGCACAAATTTACAGTGTATACGCAATATAAAGACACAGAAGCTGATTGAATGTTTAAAGAGGCTGGACTGGCCTTTAACCTCGCTTGAGCGCGGAAATGTGCTGTTCCAAGGGAGGATCATATTTTCTCGAAATCTGATTTTAAAGATTTGTGTGCTTGAACGAAAAAAGAAAGAAAGAAAGAAAATAGTCTTACATATTATGATTTTATTTATTTGTTATTTATGTTTTCAATTACCCTTTTTTTTTTGCAGATCAGCAATTTTGTTCATTGCTTTTCTTGTTTTTGGTACGCAACGTACGCAATGTACCAAGTTGAAAAATTTGTGTCATTGGTTAGGAAGAGTTCACGTTCGTTGTATTATTTTAAAGAAGATGTATTGGAATCCTTGTTAGACTTGTGCGATGCGGTAAGAATTGTAAATAAGTCGTGTTAGATTGTTTCCTTTACTGAGAAGCTTGTTGTGGTAAATAGTGCGGTGGTCTTACGACGGGGAACACTCTCTTTTAACTCAATTGTTATTATCTCCTGCTAAATCATAAAATAACATAGTAAGGAGCTAATCTCACTTTTCGGCGCTGAAACGTCTGATTTGAATCTGATTAACTTATTTCCAACCCCTTTATGAAAAGAGGTTTCAAATAATAGAAAATCTTCCTCATTCCAAAACCAGTCGACTTTAAATAGAGCTGCAAAACACTCCCACCAAGTATTTGCCGGAGAGGTAAGATACAGCAAGTAAAGCACAGTCAAGAGTGAAGACAATGTTTGCGAAGCAAGTCTTCGGTTACTTTGCTTTTCAGGTGTTATTGTTGCAGCTCACTACAGGTAAGTGTCTAAGCTATTGAATGATTCTTGACTACTGATTTCTTACAGTTTCTGCAAGAGAAGAAACATTTTGTAAAACAACTTGATTATTTATTCACGTTGCATTTAGAAAATGTTCAGGGAGGTTCTACCTTTTTGAACTGTCAGAAATGACCGCGAACCCACAAATTTAAGAAAGTAGATGATAGTGAAAAATGTCTTAACTTTATGTGTGTATCCGTTCTTAAATACGAATGATTCCTTGGTAAAGGTTTGTGTTAAGGTCCATTTCGTTTCATTTATGAACTGGGACATGAAGCAATCCCTTGGAGTCAATATCGAGTGGTTACAATTAGGTTTATTTGTCTGTGCAATGACTGTATACAAGGTCGATGAAAGGGAACGCATACAGATGACAGGGTATTACTTCAATGCAATTAAATGATATTTGTCTTTAAAATACTTTTAACTTTTTTTGCATGTATGGTATTCAAGCGTATGTCTTTCAAACTGGGAAGGTGAATATTTCCGACACATCCCAAAACAACCATGGCTGCCAGACCGTTTCTTTCAATACTCAGTTCCAGGGTTCTGGAGATGTAAAGGTGTTTGCAACGCTTAGCCACGGAAGCGAACATGTCAAAATCCACGACCCAGCGTCTGTTTGGGTGAAGTCAGTGTCCACATCTGGTTTTGATGCCTGCGTTCGTGAAGCAGGCAGTGGTTCTGGAGGCGCGTCTGTGATCAACTGGCTTGCCTTTCAAGGTTCGCACCAAGGTCTTGATTCAGGAATCGTTGAATTTGATGAATTTACCTCAAGAACCCAGTGCAAGAAGATATCGCTTAGTATTCAGAATAAGGTGAGATGGTAAAGTAGGTGCATTCAATCAGTCATTTTAACATACTTACAGGTGACAAACAATACATCCTCACTTGGAAAAATCGATCAGGCATGGAGGAAGGGGCCTTAAGCCTAAAGGTACATGTAGAATCGAGAATTCGGAAGTCCCATGCTTTACTGTCGTAATTAGTCACTTAGAAGGAACTTTGAAAATGTCACATCAGGGTTATGTAGAATCCCAGACCTTACATTTTCATTCTTCTTTTTTTTTCTGTCATAGATAATTGTTCTTTTGTTATACTCTGTCTTACTTAGGCGAGACCCCAAGTGTTTGTGACTGTTCTACATAAACATTCCGACCGACCATTTGACTCCATGAACATTTGGCTAGAAGACGTCAAAAAGGATGGTTTTGTGGTTTGCTTGAGAGAGTTTATGAGCTTTGACGGCATCCATTCAGGTCTCAAAGTGGTAAGTTGAAATTAGAGAAGTCTGAGGTGACTGAGTCTTTATTGCTCTATTCATGAAATTACCACGCAGGGTTTGTGTGGCAAAGAAGTCCACCTTGGGGTAACTAAAGGCTGCGTTCCAGTACATGTGGCATCGCACACTACACTTCTATGTACAATAAATTCTATATCGTGCTTCTTCTCCAACTTGTATTACAAAAATTAATATATCAAAAACAACAATGAAAACAAGAAAATCGATTCAGTTAACTTCTTAAGTGCTAGTTTATTTAGGTTAGATATACCTGTTCCCAACGCTTTTTGCAGCACTTCTGTCTGTCGGAACTCTCCATCTCAGGACGACGAATAATGATAATAATCGTCCGCAAATCTGCAAATAAATTTGTGTATATTCTCTTTTTTTAAAGAACTGGCTTGCGTATGATGTGCTCCCGGGGTCTTGGAATATTACTGAAAGAGGGAAGCTTCATTTTTCTGGACTTGGTGCACCAAAGAAAGAAAACAACTATGCTTTTTGTCAGGTTGGAAAGACTAACGGTCTTCTACATGTATGAGCCTCTGTTTAGTTTAGTACAGCTCAAGGGAAAACGTGTATCGCCCATTTCCAAGAAACACTATAGCGGTCTGTTTCTATAATGAATGTACGGTTATCAGTGACAAAATAGGGTTTATCGCCGGTATCGTTGATCTTGATTTCCGTTGCACACTGTATTTGAATTGTACAATAGTGCATCCAGCAGCAGTCTTTATAAACCTTGATGTTGCACTATAATCACTTTTATTTATTCCTTTTAGAAAACTTGCAAAACTTTAAGAGGAAAAACACTTTTACCCATTATTATAGGCAAGTTAAATAGGAACTGTCTTACATAACAACAACAACAAACAAAAACGTTATTGACAGCAATGAAACCCATAACACATACACACTACCTACATTTAGCAAAAGCTATGGGAGGCAGGCAGTGTACACGAACTGATGCATTTTTAAATGTCTTAACTGTTAAAACAAGAAAAATACAGAAAGGCCTATGAATTTCAATACTTTTTCTTAAACTGAGGTCGGAATAAAAAGGTGATAAGCTTTGAATAAGGATTTAACTATGCATTTTTGTGTAATGATGGTTTCAGGATTATAAATTCGAAAATCCATTTTACGAGCCTCCTAGTGTTCTCGCGTCTGCCAGACATGACAACGACACCAGTGCTCTGTGGATGAAGGCTGATGGTCGTTTTAGCAACGCTTTAAATGTTTGGATCGAGGTAAGTAATTTTCTAGACCATATACAGCCATTTATCTTTCCTCATTTATTGAAACTGATTTTAGGGTTCTGTTTTCAATTGCCTCCACACTCCAAGTAGCTGAGTGAAAATGAATTAAGCGCTCGAAGTGGCAGCACCACTTTTAAGTTACATTTAACTTCAATCAAATTCTTCAGTCATCACTGTCGCTTTAACTACGGATTTGTACCGAGCAGTTTTTAATTTTTAATTTCAAATGTGGGCTGGAGAAAGAGTGGCGAATAAGAGACCTTCCTTTAGTTTTAGTAAAATTGGGTCAGTCGAGAAAATTGACTTGGATAGTTCTAAAAAGTTTTTTTTCTGCACACACTTTTCTCGCTTTTGGATTTCTTACCCCACAAGAGAAATACCCACGCCCTAGAAATCTAGGAACTAGGAACTTACTTAACACGCAGAAAGCTCCACCGTTTTTTTTTCACTTTACTTGGTAGAATAAGGAATTCTTTGAACTGCCAGATACTTACTTTTTAGTTAAAAATTTAATATTAGTTCATTGTTTAGGAATTCTATAAAATCTTTTGTAACTTAAGTTTGACGGGGATAGTATATTGATCGATTCATTTCCTGAGTCCTCAAATCGAACTGAACAGTATTTCTTGCTAACTCTCTAGTAGTTATACCTGAATGAAGTTGTTGTCTTCTAGGAAATTACTCGTTTATCTTTCAAAGTGTGCATCAAGGACAGCCAGGGAATTAGCAAGTCTCATGATCCAATTACAGTGGACTATGCAATTGTGGGAGGTACTTTGTTATTTTCATTGCATACCAAAAAAAAATCGTCAAGATAAGAAGTAGTTTCAAAGTCGAAAAAAGAAGAACAAAACAAAAAAGACAGGTTTTTTGGGTATATACACATGTCGTGAAGGTCTAACAAAATGCATTTTCTTTTATATTTCTTCTGACTTAAGTCTAGCCCCGCATACCGAATTGAGTAATATTTTTCCGAAAAGTGTATTATTTTAAGCACTTCATGCTTCAGGAAGATTTCTGATAGGAGTTTAGGAAACAAAATGTTAAATTCCTGTCGTAATCAGTGATTTTGTATTTTTTCTCAAAGATATTGACCCGTGCACAAATGTTACTTGCGATTACCATGCCATCTGCAAAGCTTTCTCTGCATTTGATGCCCGTTGTGTTTGTGATGACAACTGCCCGTCGTACGAGGAGCCAGTGTGTTCATCTAACTCGACAACATTTAAGAACAAGTGCTTTTGTCTGCTGGACATTTGCAGGCGCAAGAGTAATCACACTCTCTATCATCCCGGTAGTTGCACAGGTAAGAGAGCGGATTATAATGATTTTTAAAACCAACTTAAACAGCGTATGCAGAGCTCTAGTGTTATGAGATATGGTGCTACTGATGACTTTTGACATCACTCAATTTGGCGGCCATCTTGGGCGCCATCTTGGAATTTACTGAGAATTCCGTTTTAGGCAGTGCACATGGCATTTTCCATGCTGGAGGTCTAAAATAATTCATGATTAAATGATTATTATAACATAACAAAAGCAAACCGCGCGCTCTGATTGGTCAGTTAGCCACTACCATTTGCCCGTGGGTGCACGCCAAGGAACTAAGCTAGCGCGGTAAAATTTAGGCAAATTCAACAAATCTCCTCTCCTGACGGTAAAATACACAGATGAAATGCACAGATGAAAAGTAGAAGTTGAAGAAAATACTAAGCTGTCGTTTTGAAGGAACAAAGACAAAGGATCAAGCGACAAATTTGCCCCGGATGAATTAATCACTGCTTTCCTCGCGGCTAGAATCGGCTGAAGGAAAATCGAGCGAGCGAAGATTTAAGGTACATTTTGTATGTTTTTTTATAGAAGAGAAATTCTGTTTGAAATGTAAATTTATCAATTAGCATTGTGTTATTGACCTTTTGGTCAAGCTGACGCTAAATTCAAGCAAATATTTTAGGAAACACGCCCAAATTCGAGCCAGCTTTGTTTTAAGTTTTCATCGCATCGATTAAAAATTTTAGTTGAGTTTAAACGGGCACATTACGCTGAAATAAGCGAATTTCATTTGAGTACAGAAACATTTGGGTTTTCAAATAAATTTCTCAAAAAATGACTTCTGTGTGTATTATTTTGTTCCCCGGTGTTCATTCATAACAGTCGTTCAGAGAACGGTCGAAAAACAACAGCTTCAGCGCCGGCTGTGTCGGCGAATTTCAGTTTTAACTTTGACTTTCATAGCTGGATTTCCCCAGACAGATTTCGATACAAAGCTAGTTAATTTCTTTTTAAAATTAGTGTTACCTGTTATTCTAAAGGAATTACCTTTAAATTTTCTCATTTCTACTTTGCGTTTATTTCAAAAATTGTCACATAAATAAGATTGATAATTATTTCATTTGTTTAGTTTTAGCTTGTTTTTAAAGTCTTTCTAGTTGGTGTTTATAGTTGCAGCTATAGTTTTCCCTCAAAGTTTTTACCCTAATATTAACAGCAAGTAGACAGATGCCATTCAGAATAACAACGAAAAACGTTTTGCAATTTACCTTAAGACGGAGAACGGTTGATTCAGCGAAAGAAAAACTCAAAGGCAAGTTTTTGAAAAACATAGAACACGATTTGTTTACGCGCGGGCAGGTGGCAGCATACTTGGACTCGTACGATGACTCAACCGAAGGGAAATGGAAAATAATGTTTTTCTCTTTTGATTATGTTATAAAAGAAATGGTAAACGTTGCAGCTGTGCAACCATGGAGTTATGGATGCACTTGGGAGGTTTGCTAAGCACTCAAGAAGCTAGAGTCGCACTCGGCTATCGCCTCGTGCTACTCTTACGCTTCTTTCGTTGCACGTTTACCATTTCTTAATTTTTCTTATTTTGGTACTGTTTCGAACGCAGTAAAGTGCCAATCATATAGTGCCACTATATGATTGTGTGACTGTACAATCAGCCTCTAACTTTAAAACTCCTCGCATATAGAAAGGATTTTCTATGTTGTTTTTCCTATCCTCATCAGGTATTTGCAGGGTGCATCTTTTTTCTGTCTTCATGTTAACTTTTTTTGCTGTTTTTGTTTATTTTTTCGCTTTCAGCTCTAATTAGCATTGTTTTTCTTGTTGTTGTTGTTGTTCCTCTACAGGTTTTCCTGTTCAGACTGGGCGAGTTTCACTGAAAAGACATGTACAGTGGGCAGAGACGGCCTGTGAAGTAGTGAAATTTACACCGTTTTCATTCTATCCGGACAAAGAAGTGCACGTACAAATAACGACCAATCACTGGAACATAAGCAAGAAAAATTTTATACATGATGCTACTGTGTCCTGGGTGCAAACTGTTAACTTCGAGAATTTTGAGGTGAATATTTTAAAGGAAGTTTTCAATTCAAGTATTACTTCAAGTAGTAATTAGTGCGGCTCTGTTCATTTGTCTTACATCTCCAAGAGCTCTTGTTTACCTGTCATATTTCTGGCCAGTAAAATACTATTTGAACATATTTTATTTTCACAACGAGTTACTAGCGGAGATTTCGCGTCTTGCGCGCGCAGAGGGGCACTATGGGTAAGAAAATTTGGTTATCTATGCATCCAAGAAACTTTGGTTACTAACAAAATCGTGCGTACGTACGTAGGACCGCGTCTTCACGTTAACGGATGTGAAATGTGTTACTAGCTGTAAGTCCTAAACATATACAAATTGTGTTTAACTCGATTTTGGACATCCATGTTATAATCAATTGACAGCTGTCAAAGTAGGGCATCCCCAGACCAGTGTCACACGACTTTATTGCGGGCTCAGGTGTGCTACTTATTGAGGTGACAGTTTTTTAAGTTCTCAGCTGACCAGTTATAGAATCAAGTGATCGCAGGCTGGGAAAACTTTTTTCCAGCAAGTCAGTTACCACGAGAGCTCCGCTTTTGACCTTGGCTAAATCTATATATCACCTTACCATATAAAATAAACATTAGCCATTACATTTAATATTTAGGTGTGCGTGACTGCAGCAGGAAGAAATGATCGCTTAATCAAAGAATTTGCCACGGTGGACTGGATGGCCTACCAAGGTGCTCCTGATGGAGGTGTGGCGGGTAAAATGAGCATTCCAGACTGGTGGACTGGATCACAGTGCTCGAAAGTCAGCCTTCCTCAGGCAATAACACTTTATTGCTACCTCTCAGCTGCATCTTGTTTCGTTGCATAAACCAGAAAAAATAATGACCTTTAGTTAAGTTTTTCAATAAGGTGAACATTTGTTATGCTGATGTTGTAAGTACCAAACACTCCATTGTTATCCAATCAAAGATATCGTACTTGGACTTGGACTTGGACTTGGACATGAGCTGCAAAGAGGCAGCCCAGTTCTGTCCGCGAAATTCTTTCTGACACATAGGCCATGTTTAAACCTTGTTTTTTAATCAGATTTTACACTTTTTGTCAGAAGGGGGAGATATTCTTAAAAAAAAAGTATTATTTAATACAAAAAATAGGAGAAAGAAACTTGTACGGTCTAGGGCTAAATTTGACAGTTCGCGTTCAAACAGATGACCACGGTCCGATGTCCTATGAGCGTCACTAGTATCATGTGAAATTTTTATTTATTTCAAATTTTACACATGCCATTCTCCCAATCGTCTTTGCTGTGCATACTTAATAATTACCAATTAAACTTTTTTTACTGTACAGGTTATGAATGTTTTTTTTTTTAACAGGGAAAATTTGCGTCTACACCAACGGTCCTGGTTACAGCAGAACATATAAGTGCAGACTTTAAGCATCACTGAAGCATGATGCCGCAAGTTTGTGGGTGGAAAACGCAACCAGTTCCTCCTTTTACATTTGTCTTCGAGGACTACAGAATTATGATGGTCTACATGAAGATATCTTTGTGGTATATGTTTTCTCCTTTATAAATATATCTGTCTGGAGTTTGCTAAAACGTGGCTAAAGAAATTTCAAGTGCATTTTATTAGTTTGATATCTGAGTCGAATGGAAAGCAATTAAAAGTTACTAGCTGACAACTTTATTGCTGGCAACAGACGGTAAATTCCTCTCTCAGAAGTAAGAGGATTTTGCGATAAAATAAACAACATTTGAAACGTCCAGACATTATAACCTTTTAGTCAGCCAAACCTTGAGGCCCCATAGCCAAGTGTCTGCCGAAAACAGATTAAGAAGCCACAATATTTGAGCATAGAATAGGCTTTCTAAGCCAAAATCATCTAAACTAACTCTCACAAAGCGTTTTTATGCTTGGCACAAAGTAATCTGTTAACACGAGCTCAACCACATACCTGACTTTTGTCTGTCAACACCTTCGGTAAATCACACAATAAAATCACTTTCGATGCAATCACAACACTTCCAAAATCCACTCATAATATTTCCACATTTAACACGGGCGAGACATCGTCAAATTACATGGAGCAATAAAAGCCCGGTCTGAATAGGATCAATCATAAAATACGTTAAATGAGATCTCACAAGTATTGTGGATACAACTTACAAATCGTTTTTCGGGAACATAGCTTAACTATTTCCACACGGGCTTTACGTATGAGATAGCAATCCATTTTTGATTGCTATCCCTCTCTTTAGAGTTGGATGGCCTTTGAAAAAATACACATTCCCCTTTTCGCTGAGAGCAAACACGTGGATTTTCCAAACAACGATTCCGTTTCTACAAGCTACAATGGTGCATTTTGCAAGGTAAGAAGCACTTTACTTTTAAGCAGAAGAAAGCTCTGTAACTATTTAGATGGAACAGCAGAGAAAAAACCGTAATCAACCCCCTGGGGGTACTCCCTTATATAAGCTATATAAGTATGTGCCGCTCCATCGGGTAGGGTTTTTGCGCCGTTTTGGTCTGACAACGGGTATACACTTTGCCCATTTTGGTCTGTAATGAGACCATGAAAGGAACTTGTTTTTTGACAGTTCATCAAAGCCGTCGGAAAAAAATCTTCAACAAAGAAGTGTTTTTGGTACTCAAAAATTACCTGTTCCTTCGAGTCGGCGCAGATAAATTCCAGCCACCAATTATATGACCATGCATTGATGAAAATGGATGGTGTTTCAAAGTTTATATCAACAGCCTTCTTTATGCCCTTAGGACGTCCCATTTGCAAAGAATTACGACAACGAACCCATAGTATTAATAGCAGCCGGTCACAACTCAGAAGGCAACAATTTGAAGCCCATATACATGTCCGTGACCCCATGGATTGAGGTATTCTCAAGTTATTGAACTAATATACAACACACTTTTATCAAAATAAGTAACATCAAGCTGATAACCCTGTAGCAAATGCGCAAATGAGTTAAATTACACCAAGGTCTGTTCATGCAATCTGTTTATCAGTCATAGTCGCGCAGCGAAACATTCCATCTATTTGTTCATCTGTTATTCAAAGTCAGTTTCCCAATTTCTTTATTTTTTGTTTAGATACGAAAACGACTCTGAGCTATTACTGTTCTTGTAAGCGAAATATATGATGTTAGATGATTTGCTTATTATTTTACAGCACATCAAGACTAGCGAATTTCGCGTTTGTCTCAAGGAGTTGTTCGCTGACCAGCATGATCCTGTGAATGTGTCCTATACAATATTAGCAGGTGCGTTAGTAAATATAAAAACAAATTTTCTTTGCGAAGATCTTCGCATACTCAGCAAGCTTTGGTAGATGTCAAGTAAACTTAGAGACTCCTTGTTTCATATCTCCTTTAAGTAATCACCAGTAAATGTATTTTCTCAGTTCCTACTTACTACAAGTAACGGTTTCTATTTCCAAAAACTTCTCGGTCAGCTCGAACTTTTCATGGAACGAACGAAACTCTAATTTGAGTCGACCTAACTTGAGTTAAGATCGGCTGCTGGGTCAGACGTCGATCTTTATAGGACGCGTCGAACCAATCAACTAAATCAGATAAGTAATAAAATTATTTTCTCCCGAACGATTTTACATAGATTATCGAACATTTTTTTTAAATTTATTAGTTTAGTACGTCACATGTGAAGATCGACGCTTGTCCCGGAAACGATCTTCGGACGCTCTGTCCGTCTGAACGTGTTGGACGATACAAACTCATTCAGACGAACTTAACTGAGCCAGACGTCGCTAAGAACGTTTCATGAACTTAACTCCCTAAGTTTGGTTCGTCTCATGAAAAGTTCGACGTTTGGCCTAAGCCTTTTTTTCTCTTTGTTACGCACTATTTGCTTCACACAAAATGTTTTGTGTATTGCAGATGTATGTAAACCGGGCTGGTCATATTTTAATGGTATTTGTTACTCGACAAGCCATTCGTGCAAGAATTGGACTGAAGCTGAGAAAACCTGCCAAGCATATAGCGGCAACCTCATCACTGTGCGGAATCAAGAAGAAAACGTGTATATTCAGCATCGGCTGAATGGTGCCAAGGGCTGGATTGGGCTAAACGATAGGGTAATTGAAGGTACTTTCGACTGGGCAGATAATCAAACCAGTAACTTTTCATATTGGGCGAAGAATCAACCAAACAACTTCAACAATGAAGATTGCGTTCACACTTTGGGAGTCAGACATAGTTTTATGTGGAATGATGTAAGCTGTGGTACTTGCCATAACTATACCTGTTCAGAAGGTTTGTGGGTGACTTACCTCTTTTACACCTTTTGCTGTTCATTACGAGAAAATACGCATTCATTTGCGTAAAACGGCTACCAAAAGCGCGAAGATACATTCATTAGCGCGAAAAAGCGAACATTTGCGCATAAATCAGATTCAATAACGATCTTTGCATTTTAATCAACATTTAATAACATTTTTGGGCATTCATTTGCGTCATTGGGCATACAAAAGAGAAAATATACTTTCATAAACGCCAACATTCGAGTCATTAACATTATCTTGAAAATCATTAGGGACAATAGGCAAACATTTAAGTGCAAGTGCTATTCATTAACATTCTTCTGACACTGTTTGCAATTCAATAGCATTTCTGGACAGCTTTAGAATGGATAAGACAAACATTAATGCGCTTGTACAATCAATTGAACGTTCTTTACATTTAATACACAAAAATATATTTTCAATTAAACAATACCAATCCCCCCCCCCAAAAAAAAAAAAATTGGCCCGAATTTGTTTAAAGAATCACGCCGTACTTCGCCACTGTGTGTTCGTCGACGGCTATACCACCTTAGACGGCCAGAAGTCATGGTGGGGCGCGACAGGGAGTGGAGGGCGTACCGTCAAATGTGCGGCCAACGAGGACGAAACTTGACTATGACCATGGCAATATTACCTATCAAATGTTTTCCTTGGCAGCTGCTGGAGTAAAGAATACTGTGTCGGGTTTTCGGTGACTTTCTGGCACGGGCGAGGAAAAAATGGGTCCCGATAAGTCGGTGGTTTCTCTGCGCAGAAACATGACATTGTGACCGCAGCTAAATGTGCTAAAGGGTACCATTTCATGCAAACCTACCTCCCTAAATGTTTAAATAGCGAGGTTTTTGAGGGATATACATTTAAAGGACTGAAACTCAGGCCAAATTTGTTTGAATTTCTGATGTTTAATTGAAAACCGATTTTTGTATATTAAATGTAAAGAACACTCAATTGATTGTACAAGCGCATTAATGTTTGTCTTATCCTTCCTAAGTTGTCCAGGAATGCTGTTGAATTGCAAACAGTGTCATAAAAATGTTATTGAATAGTGTTTGCACTTTAATGTATGTCAGTTGTCCCTATTGACTTTCAAGATGGTGTTAATGACTTTGATGTTGGCGTTAATGAAAGTATATTTTTCTCTTTTGTATGCTCAATGACGCAAATGAATGCCCAAAAGTGTTATTGAATGTTGATTAAAATGCAAAAATCGTAATTGAATCTGATTTATGCGCAAATGATCGTATTTTCGCGCTAATGAATGTATCTTCGCACTATTGATCGCCGTTTCACGCAAATGAATGCGTATTTTCTCGTAATGAACACCAAAAGGTGTATATACCAGCTGGCGTTACCATTACTATTATCATTATTATTTTTATATTATTCATTAGTTCCTATTCAGAAGCAATTTAATTCCTATTTGCCCCAAGCCTGTTTCAAAAAGAGATTATAAAAATACTTCCTCATGAAAGGGTTTGCTCTTGACCTCATTTTGCAAGTGTGGGTTTTTAGAAATCGAAAATGGACCTCGATAACCAATAGGCCATTTGCACGATGACGTCATTTTACTACCACTACCAGAATCCTTCAGGGTATTGCTTTCTTATGCAAATTACAGCTTTTGTTATTTAAACCGCACTGGGATTAGCAAATTTAAATATGAAAGAAAAAACGAAAAGAATTGTGGTCCTAGTAGTGAAAAGGCGTCGTCGTGCAAATGGCCCATTTCTCTGGCTTCTTAGCTGACAAAACGTTTGAGTTTACTTTAAATCTGTTTGTTGCAGAAATAGTATTAATAAAAGGATTAGTCTACAAAGAAAAATAGGCACTACCAGTGCGAAAACATAGAATAGACGTCACAAAACAGGATCCATAAGCTGGCGCTTTTGGCACTGCATTACCCTTTCATACACAACAGATTTCGTGCTGAGTGACTCATATGAGCAACGATTTTAAATTTTATTCTTTTGTTAAGAAAGTTGATTGATAGTCGATCGTTTCATTATTTATTTTGCAGGTTGATTGAGTGAATGATTGTTTTATATTCGTTTTTAAAATTAGATTTTGATGAATGTGGAGGAAACAATAACCATTGTCATCAGAACGCCATCTGCACAAACACTATTGGCTCTTATAGTTGCCGGTGCTCCGTAGGATATGCCGGTGATGGCTTGCTTTGCAGAGGTATTATGTTCGAATCCCCAAGTTGTAGTTTTTCTTTTAATTCATGAAGCATAATCTTCAAAGAACCTCATACAATGGTAAAGAGACATCTTTTGTGAGTTTAAGGCTTGCTTGGGGCGAATTTAAAAGGTACAATAAGCATGCTTTTACCGTAAAATTGCGTGAAAATTTATTTTTCAGCTAATTCCTTAGAGGGGTTTAAATACGGAGCAACGTATTATAATAGTAAAATAAGCGTTTAAACATGGGCTGGTATAAATTAAGAGGGAGATCTTCTCAGCAACTTTTTTTTTTCTAGTTTCAAAGATGATAAAATTTGGACATTAACCTAATCTCTATGAACAACACTGAGCAATGAAGTTTATTAACTATCCTAAGTTTATAGTTCATAGGCATACAGACCATACTATATATAGTTGTGAATACAGCCCAAAAAGGGAACTAAAGTAGGTACGGTTGTTGATTTCCCGCAATTTCAAATTCTAAGCTCTCACAGACTGCGTAGCTTTCCGCTCTGGTTACAACTTTCTCAACAAACCCGAGCGGGAACGCTTATTAGATCTTGTAAGGCAGGCTAAAGCTTTCGGGGATTCATTTTGAGAGGCTTTCTTGTATGTTGATGGGGCTGATATGCCAGAAGCTTCAAACTCCTACGGTACTTCGAATTCCTTGAAACTTTCGTAAAGACTATTTTTGTTTGCTCCAGATATCGACGAATGTTCCTCAGGTCACCGGTGTGACAGCAGTGCGACATGTTATAATACTGATGGATACTACACGTGCACATGTAACAGCGGCTTCACGGGGGATGGACGAACCTGTCGAGGTATAAACCTTTGACCAAATACTGAATACTATTAACGACAGCTCTGTAAAGCATTTCGATAGATTAGGTTGGCTGCCAGTAGGTGACATCATAACGGCTTGGAAACTAAAATTTCGAGGACGTTTTTGGCCTTTTTACATTTAGGGCATGAATTTTTCGTCATTTCAGGCCATGGAACCTAAAAATGAGCCTAGCTAGCTGTAAAAAGGGGCAATACGGAGGCAATACGTCCTAGCCGGCATGATCACATGCTGTTTACGGAAAATTCCCTCATCCATGTCAGGAAATTCTGTACCTTAAAGCCTCCCCTAGGGCATGACTCAGCAATTGAGGACATTTCTGCTACGTTTTCAATGTTGGTTAGCATGCAAGGATTTTTCCCATGCCTATCGTCAATGATTTGCTCACTGGTAATAGAGGGGGTGGCCCCAGAGTGGTTTTGCATTGAAATTGGCATGCAACAGAATCTCGCATGCCCTGTAAGCATAATTTGAGGTTCTGTGACCTTCTCACCCAGGCCGCGAGAAGCCTAGGTTCTAGTAATAAGTAATTCATACCCAGCAAAATCTCCGGCATGCCGGGCATGCCAAATTTTCTGACATGCCCGGCATGCTAAATTCTCTGGAATGCCGGGCGTGCCATAATCTGGGTCATGCCGGGCATGCCAAAATCGATCTCTGGCACGCTCTCAACGCACAGGTTATAATTCCTTGAATCTACAGATATTTTAAGCGTGGCTAAAAAAAAAAAAAATTAACAGATCACAGTGCTTATCTTTTGATGTACGGTTACACGATGACGTCATTGCTATTCCTTTCATTTTCATAGATTTGGTTGTCCCAGCGAAGTTTAAATAACAAAAGCTCTAATTTTCACAAGAAAGTAAAACCCTGAGGGATTCTGCCGAAGTAATAAAACAGCGTCATGGTGGAAATGACCTGTTGGGGGATGCTAAAAACTCCTCACCCCTTTTAATGAGTCTTTAATAGGATTCCCTCTTCACATTGCGAATAAAATGGAATTGACTGAAATCAGTAAAAAGAGAGACAGAGACTATTTTCATTGTATAATAAAATGCATCTATGTTCCATGAAAGCTTTTAAAAATACAAGGTTATGGAATATCTTTCAAAAGTTCATTACAAACTGAGCTAAGCCCCAAAATCACTGTTTATTATTCAGTAAATTATGATATTTGACAATGCAATGTGCTTGAATATATATAACGTTGCAATTACAAATCTCTCTAACGCAATTTTCCCTACGTTAGAAAAGCTGTTTTTGTCTTGTTTCACATTTTGATAAGGAGTCTGAGTTCCTCTCTCTTGTTTTGTAGGCTTGCCAGAGATTAATGTTTTTGTGTCATTACCAGTGTCTGTGTTCTTTGTCTTTAACTCAAAGTAAGTCGGTAATAACTGACAGTATCAAAGAATTGCTCTCTAGAAAAGTAATTATCTCCTAGTCATGTCTGGAAGTTACCTGTAACAAAAAAGAAATGGAATGTTAACACATGCAAGGGCAATATGAAAAAAAGAAATAGAACATGTAGAGCTCAGCTTCTCTTAACATATTTTCATACTGGCTTGTTGAGTCTGTTAAAGGTCGCAACTAATTGTCTGAGGCTAATTTCACAAGAGTGTGCAATTGAGATAAATACATGGTAAATAAAGTGAAAGAAACGTGGTTTCACATTAGCCAATTTATTGCGTTGTTCGATGATGTTTACACGCTTTTCTACTGCGAAATAAACCTTTGCATTTGGATTTGCAAGTAAAGATCATACCGAGTTTGACTGACACTTAATTGGACAACAGTTTCATTTTTAGGCAGGCAAGGTGTAGACCCATATAAAGCCGGAATATGTAAAGGAAACTCAGCGAAAACTTTTTCGTATCTCTTTGTGGCGATATTCTCTCACGGCCCGTCAACTGATTAGGGGTTGCGAAGAAAAAATAAATTAGGACCAAAGGTTAAAGCCTGTCCGGTTACATCATTTCGTATGTTACCTAGAGTTCTAATAAATAGGTCATAAAATAGGATTTAACGAGAGCGAATTTGTTTCTCAATCGGTGTATAAAAAAGTGAGGCTACCAAATGAGAAGTTTATAGAGTATCAAAATTATTAAATTAAAAGCTCATATAATTAGGAAAATTCCTATACGAAAACAATGCTAGTGACGCTAAATTGATCAGATAAAATTCTCAGAAAATATGTCGAATAAAAGCCTCATTGTTTGCTTTTGTTTTTGCGTAAAGGTAAATTTTTCGGCCCACAAAGCAAAGTTGAAAAAGCGACTAAATCTTAGTTTTTTTACATTGAACATGTTTATTACCTTAGTTTTCATCCGTTTTAAAAGCTTTATAACCCAATCATAATTTTCGGGTTAAAATAGTACAAAATGATTTCAAAAACCATGTTCATTTAAAGCAGAGCCGGCAAACGTGAACATTTTGTAATTCAAAAGTCGGACCCAGCCAGGTTGTTTAAGCTTACAATTATTTGCATTTTAGCGTCCTATAAATTGACCAGAATCGCCTCTCAGAGGCTTACTGTAGCAAAGCATTTTGTAGTACACTCGTAGGCAAGCAATGTAAGCCTTTAAAAGTCTTTGCTTGGATGAGATGTCCAAAAGAAAAATTAGTTTTGTGGACCTAAACGCACATTCACAGACTGCTTATATTGAGTTGTTTACAACTTTGCATTGACACGCGAAGCATGTTCATTTTTTTAAACCGAAATCCAAATCTGATTTTGGCATTTGATTTACGGATATTTTATTTTGTCTCCAAAAGTGATTGTAAAATCCGTTTGATTGTCTTTCAAACAACAGTCAAACTATGCAGCAAAAATAAGTAACTTTACCAGTACAGTGGAAAAATATGACCGTAGGTGCCAAACATAAATAATCTCGAGCTATAAAATTATTTTAGCTTTGGTTTCTTATTTTTGAAGTTTTCTCTGGTCTTCTTAGCAGCAGAAGAAGATTACAAGACATACAAACAGAAACAATCCGAAGTGAACGAGTTCACAACCACTTATGCCGGAGTTCTTAGGCATGCTCAATAGCAAGATAAACTGAATGCCAAAAGGCTAATTCACGGGATTTGTTCGATATTCAGGCTTTTTCTTTACCAAATTAATACTAAATTTGTACTTACAGTCTCTCGCAGAATCCATTTCTTGTCCAGCATTCACCAACATCTCAACCATGCACCGCAGAAAAAAAAGACAAACAAGTGCGAAGAGACATGACGACATCGTGACGCCACAACTGCCACGCTACAACAAACTAGATTCCTCGTCATCCGAAAATACTTCTGGGGAAATTCGGCCGATTTCGTGCGTGCTCGGGGTATCTTCGGATGACGCTGATGACGTTGCTCAAAGGACTATCGTCAGCAAGGAGTAAAACAGTTTGCGAGATTCGCATAGCCGACAAGGAGCGCACTGAAAAACTAAGCAAAATCTCTCTGAGAGGGCAGTCCAAATTCACCAAATCAGAACGTCTTTGCAGTATTCGTACTCTCGTTCTGACTTGAACGACCTGGTAAGCTTCATTTTCACCAGTCTTTTAATGCTGTTGACCGGGAAACATTCCGACGCGATAAAACTTAAGCATGGATAAGTTTATACTGAGAAGATTTGTTATCTTATTGTTTAAGACGCTTTTCCGCGATCAAATTTAAATCTGGACCCAGAAATGTCAGTATCGGTTTGAAATAAAAGGATTAATCTTTGATTGCAAGTTAAGTATTCTATTTTATGCATGAATAATGTTGTTTTGTTGTGCTTTTTATTTATAAATCCAGGCTTCTGTCTTCAGTTTTGCGATCTCGTGACACACGTGACAAACATGACTTTTTTTGTTATAATCTGCATTTATTGCCAGGCATGAAACCTGTAACTTCAAGCTCCTTAAGATATATTTGGCGATTATATGTGATTCGCAAGATATGATGCTGAAGTGAAAATCAAAATCAGTCTCGTTGGGCATGCCAATTTCTTGCCTGGCCTGCCGAGCATGCCAAACCAAGTGGCTTCAACATCGGCATGCCCGGCATGCCAAACCAGAGGAGCAAAAACTGGGAATGAATTATCAACCCGGCGAGAGATCTGGGACCTAAGTTTAGCTGGGTCAATTTTGGGCTGCGAGGGCATGAACCCATTTTTTCCATGCCTGTGAGATGTTATTTCTAAGTACCAATGTTCCCTTGAATTTTGTCATGCCTAAATGTATAAAATTTTCCCTCTCTCATTAATCCTCAGACTGGATGCGATTTTTACGCTCGCTAGGCATGTTCAACTGAAAATCATGCCCATACCCTTATTCAAAACAAAATGCTATCAAATTTTAGTTTCCAAGCCGTTTCATGCGTTTAAGAAAACTTCTCATTCTACACAAAGTGAGTCAAGATCAGCGTCCTGATTATTTTTACGTCCTATTTCAAACATGTCCGTTCTTCACATGATCATAGTACTAGATCCGCCGCTCATAACACACGTCCTGCCACCACTCTGTTAAAGAAACTCAGGACTTAGTGTAAGAAGTTCGCAAGTGCCTATCGTTCATAGAATAAGTTAGGTCACTCGTATATAATTTCCCACGCAATGTTCAGAAAAGCTGAGCACAGGATAAGTTTACCAATTGAGACACTGAACGCCTCGTTAGCACATTTCAAGGTTTTCAGCTCTTTTTAGACTTTTATGGAAGTTGTAGAATTTAATATTTTTATTTTTTCATAACTAATACCTTTTGTGTGGAGGGGGATTATGAAAACAATCCAGTAAACGGTATCGTTTCCACCCTCGTTGTTCTTCTTGCTCTTCTTCTTCTTCTAGCCTCGGTTCCTTTGGCCACTGTGCACATCCTCTCTTGATTTTTCATTTATTAATATTTGAATACTTATAGCACATTTCTGTAAGAAAATTATGTATTCTGTATGTGTAAGATTCATTCATCTGAACGGTGCAAATAAAGTTGAAGTTGAAGCTCTTCTTCTTCTTCTTCTACTGATGTCGTTTTAGAAACAAAAAGCAAACTGCGGTGATAAACATAAGGAAATATGAACGGAAGAAAAAAGACTTTAACTTGACGTTTCGTATGTTCCAAACATACATCTTCAGTGGGCTAAACTGAAGCCCGAAGGGTTGTCATGAGTAAAATCATTTTCTCGGTCGAGCCCTCTGCTTACTTGCAGATCTGAATTCGCCTTTGCTTACATTGAAAGCCATCTCTTAATGGTCTGCTACTGTTCTTTTTAGGTCTTGAAAAGTTCACTCCTATTCATGACTATGACATTCGTAGACAAAAAAGAAGATCCAGCTTGAAATAAATAAAAGTCTTGTTATCTCCCAGATGTTGATGAATGCTCGCTCAGCACCCATGACTGTCACTCCCATGCAATCTGCACTAACACAGAAGGCTCATTTACTTGCAAGTGCGACCTGAATGTGCATTACATTGGTGACGGGAAAACATGTACTCCTCATCGTAAGCCGAATTATATGTTTTACTTCATTTTGTTCTCTTCGTTTTACCACCCTGACAATTGTTAACTTCTATTTTGTGGGAAAAAGTATCCACCAATATTTATGTCGCCAAAGAGCAACCCCTCGCCTGCCTGTCGATCATCTTGATTATGCTCTTGTCCAAGAATATACTCTTAATGACATTTCAAATGTACCGAAAGCGAGATTTGCTCGTTTATTACTATTTCGATGGCTTCTGACTTTCTTGGGTACTTTAATTTTGAGTGTATTTTAGGCTAACCCAGCCGATATTTTGAATTAGTCAAGTGTAATTTTTTTAAGGTATAGCAAATACTGGAGTCATTTTCGAAATACAGCATCTTTTAAAAGGATGATTTTCTGATTTACTTTCTTTTTACCAGGTGGTCTCGATGACTCCGTTATTTTAGCGAACGATGCCAGCAAGATATCGCAGTTAAATACCTGGCTTCTTCCGCACTTACAAAGTCCAGACAAAAGTTATTGGAAACTGTGTTATAGGGCCTCTAATCATGGCTGGAGTTCACAGACCTTTCACAGAAATTGCGATAACAAAGGACCCACTGTAACAATTGTTAGGGTCAGGATCTATATTTTTGGAGGCTACAACGACAATTCATGGCAGTGTAAGTCTTTGAAATAGCTAAGATACGAAGAAGGTATCGACCAGTTGAACTGAATTAAAACCGGGGGTTATTAACCCCAAATGTAAAAGGGAGGAGAGACTGGGCCTTTACAATTTTCGCAAATAGTTCAAAACAAGTCTAGTCTTAACTAGATTGTCATTAATCACTCGCAAAACTGCTAATTGGAGAGGATTGTGAGGTAAGATCGGTAAGAGTTTAATCAAATACTCGCAACCTGACAATCTAATCCAAAGTCACAACATTGCTGAAGCATGAACTGCATTCTAAAAATTTGCCATCGTTATTATTGGGAAAAATTACTGACAACCTGTAGTTTTGATTGGCTGATGACAACTGTTTTAGCCACTGGCTCCTCCTTGTACAACGGCTTGGCCGTGCGTTTTCTTGTACGATCGGGGATTAGACGCATCCAGATCTAGAAAAATAAATGTTTGTTCGGCTTAAAACGCTTCGAACATGTCACCAAAAAACTGTGCTGAGTCCTCGGGCTGCTTTATTTATTATTTATTTATTTATTATGTTTTTAACAAGTGCGTTTGAGGTGGGGTATGGGGCTTAGTGGAGAAGGTCGGGCTTAATACTACTGTACTGCAGCTGGTTCTACCAGTTCTTTTTCTTGAAATCTGAGAGTGGTGGACCGCCGTTTCTTTTAAATTTCTAATGGAAAAGCCCTGGGGACGAATTTGGTGGCAACTTGTGATGCTCCAATTCATGAGGATTTGAGCGTGATTTATGTGGTATTTGACGCATTATATACTACCTCCCTGCTCTCAGTATTTACTAACCCACCACCGTTTCCTAAAAAATACACCATTTTATAGCTGTGGGCTTAGTATCCTAGACTTTGAGTGAGTGCAAGACTGAGGTTGACCATGATAGATAGATATTTAGATAGTTTAATTACCAGTACTTTGCAGCCCAAATGCTGAATTGCGTATTTACAAATGATGCAATTGATAAAATGTGTATATAAAACTAATTACAGTAAATAAAAAAGGTGAAAAATGTGATAAAAAGTCTAAACATTTACGTACAGGATCTGATAATAAAACTATTCCTAAAACGATCTGTCTTCCATTTAGGTACAATGAAGCGCCTGTTGCACCTTAGAGCATAACCAAGTTTTGATACAAACCTCCTTTGTTTTCTTATGAAAATTATACTTAAAAAGTACTGGTTAGAATGAAAAAAAAAAACGATTTACATATTAAGAAAGCAGAAATGGTTGTATCAAAGCAAGGTCCACTCCAGCCTCGCTTCCATCCATAATTGTAAAATGGTCTATTGAACTCGGCTGAGTTATACTCAATCTCTAATTGTTTGTGTTCTGTTTTTTGTCTCTTCAGGGTCTGCTGGTTATCAATATTCGACAAATACCTTCTTGTACTCACTGAAAAACTACTACGGGTATGGATACTTCAAACAGGACATAATGAACGGCTACAAGACCACCGCCACTTACAGCTATTATAATTATGGTCCAACCTTTGGTGGGGGCCATGATATGTATATTGCGGACAATGCGGGAGGAAATACCAAGTCTTCCTTTTACTGTAACTCGTACCGCAGAGGTCCCTATTGTGACGATTATCTCTGGGTTGGATCACGATACGGGAATAATTTCCGCCCAGATGAGTTGGAGGTTTATTATGAAGTGCTTGCTTGAAACCGGGCGGCAACATAAAACAAAGAAAGCATCAAAAAGAAACAAACAAACAGCAACAACAACAATCAAAACAAAAACATCAACAGGCCAACAAAAATAAGTCACAGCAAAAAATAAATAAATAAATAATCAGCTCTCCGCCTTTTACTATACCTTTGCTGAGAAAGAAAGCTACCATCTCTTTCATGATATTTTCAAAGTAACTCCACTCATGACAAAAAGGGTGATTAGCAACTAACGTGTACAAATTATTATATTTGGAGCTTTCGCATTATCAATAGCCGAAGTTTCAACAACAAAATGAGGTGTTAAAACACCAACAGCAGTTAACCATAGCACGACCGGTTTTGTCGTTATGATGGACCAGAAGGAATTTTTTGTTGGTAGTGTAGTTCCATGTTGGGAGTTTGCTATAACGGAGTATTTTCGGTTGTTAGAACTTATCCCTGTAGGTATTCTCAGGAATCTCGAAGGCCACCTTGTATAACAGTAGCGAGTAGAGCCCCTTTATTGTTCTGGCGTTCCTCAGATATTTTATGACTCTCCTTAGGGACCAATTTAACTGCACCGGGGCGGTTTAACAAATAACGGCAGGTTAACTGGAGTTTTTAGTAATTTAGTAGCTCGACAGAAAATTCAAATCTGACAAATTCATGTGGGTATTGCATTGTTTTCTATTATATGCCGTTTGCTGTCACCCTCGTCCTTCACATGAATAATAGGGTGTCTAGGAAGGATATTTGCCCCGGCCCCACCTTCAACTTCCTTTACCAATTGTTTCTGCGGATTCAAACTGTTAAGATATTCGTTATATTCATGGAAACAATATTGGTCGTCCTCAGGTCTCAACGCGTCTGAATTGATTTGTTTTGAACTGATCAAACGGAGAAACCTTATTCGCGATAGTGGAAATCCCCTCCAAAACGATTAAACACAGATAGACAGGCACAGGTAAGCTATAAATTAACGTTTTTAGATAGCTATAAAGAGTTTGCCTTCCCTGTAAAATATCCTTGTTTTCTCTTACTGAGCACAGATCAGTATTTTCCTCAGTATGACACTCTCTACTAGCTCTCTCTTTAATAATATAGATCCTTTTGTTTGCAAGCTTGGCCACTTTATCCTTCTATGAGATTGAAGCTATTTAGTCAGTAATACTATTTTGTGCTATTATTGTTTTTTGTTTTTACCTCTTTAAAGCAGCCAATGTTGTAATGGGCAATGCCATTTATTCTTAATTAATTTAAATGCCAAGAAATAAAACTGAATTGTCTTAGCAGAGTAAAGAGCCTCTATGAGCATAGATGAGTATGGTGTTCAATCCCCGCCGAAACTCAACTTGAGTAGCTAACATTAAGTTATAACCCCCAACGTTCAACTTCACGTTTCAACATTCAAAGTTGACAATTCAACTAACTATCAACATTTAACATGATCACTCGTTCTTGAAAATTAAGTACGCAGCATTCTACTTCTATACCCAACATGCATGTAAGTTGACTGCAACCAACATTCAACTTGAGAAACCAAAAACGAACAACTTTGCAATTCAGTTCAGTATTCAGTACTCGGCGTTATATATAAGTCTGATCATCTTTTTTTATAGTCCGATGTTAAAAAGATATTAAACTCATATCAGACGCAATGGGTAGTGAATAATTGCCGTCGCGGATTAAGCCTCATCGTTGCAAAATCTTTGGCGTTGTCCGCCAAAATGTATCTTATGTCAAAGGCTGACGTAACAGGCCAACCACAGGGGTTTGTTGTTTCCAGTCTCCGGTCTCCCTATTCCCTCCTTTTGCACAACCTAGATAGCGGCGTCTGTTGCCAGCTACTATGGAAAAGATATTTAGAGGAACATTTTCATTAAGTTCTCCTAAATCAATATGAGCAACAAGGAGCTCAACAACGTTAAAGACTGTTAATAGTGTTATTAAAAAGGCCAATTCAAAAGTTATAATCAAGGGAGGAACTACGAGCTCCAGTCCAACAGGCAGAACAGGTCCAAAGCCTCACATTATCCTTAGAAAACAAGCTGAAGTTTTAAAATCATTGCTTTATGAGCAATCAAGACTGAGACACATCGCAATTCTCCATAGTCGATGTAGCTTTAGTTTCAGCTGCAATCCATTCTTCGAGATCTGATCACTATTCGTGACAATTTTTAATCCTGCTAAAGACGCTAACGAGCTGGGCCCAGCATGATAAAACATTGCACGAAACCGTCACCTTTAGGGACAAAAATAAAATCGCTTATAATTATTCAGATCCAGGAGGCACTTTGGAGAAACTTAAACAACCTGAAACCATCATTTAGCCGCATAAAGAGCTTTACATTTCAAAGGGAGGTCAAAGAGAACGCTCTTGCATAAGAGGGCAAATAATGCCGACCAGAAACAATGATAAACCGCAGAAATCAACATGCGCGCCACGACCTCTCAGTATGAAATACAAGTGGCAAAAATCACATTTGCTCAGTCAAAACCTTTACATTTCTTTTCTAATATATCAAATTCTTTATTATCGATTGTCAATATTAAGCTTATTTCTGAGCGAAGACAATCGCTATTCTTTACATGATGTTTCGGAACAGAGTGACGAAGCCCTGCCCAAATACGGTAGTTAATCTTGCTAATTTTATTCGAAATAATAGTAAAAGAATTTGTAGTGTCTAATTCAAACAAAAGATCATTTACGAAAATTAAATCTTGTTCAAAAAGTTTTTTTTTTTTAGAAAACAGGCTTATTATGAACGCGTATCTCTTTGTTATTCCACAAAATACAGCTGAAAATATATTGACATTCCCTTCTACTATCGAAAACACTACGAAACTCAGACCACCATTGAAGTAACTCCGAATAGTATTTAGAGGAAATATGTATCTCTTTAATGTCATAATTACAATAAATAAAAAGAGGCCCCAACAATGAATACTGAAATTGCAAAGTTGGTTGTTGGTTTTTCAAGTTGAATGTTGGTTACTCAGCTTACATATTGTGTCTACAATTAGAATGCTGCGCGCTCAATTTTCAAGAACGAGTGATCATGTTACACTGTAATAGTGCAGCTCATAAACACAACGTATTTCCTATGCATTTTTTTAAAAAATGAACTTGAGCCTGCGATCGTTTGAAAACTAGTAACTTGTCAGTGGATAACTTCAAAAATACGCGACCTTGATGGGTCAAACCTGATCCCTCGATACGATTAGGTGATACTGGTTAGTGGATACCCTGTTTTGACAGATGTCAATTGATCACAACATGGATGTGCAATATCAGGTTGCACCTGGACTCACAAACTAGCTAGAAAGTGTGAGATTAAACATTGGTTGTCCTGTGGTGCGGATCGACGCTCGGGCGGTCGGTCGGTGTACGGTCACGTGATTACCCGTTCCTCTCAATAATATTTGGAGACACGCAATAGGCCATTTGCACGATGGCGTTATTTTACTACTACGACCAGAATCCTTTTTGTTTCTCCTTTCATATTTAAATTTGGTTATCCCAGTGAGATTTGAATAACAAAAGCCCTCATTTGCACAAGAAAGCAAAACCCTGAAGGATTCTGGTCGTAATAGTAAACTGATGTCATAGTGCAAATGGCCTATTGGAAGATTTTTTCAATGTACCATGGACCTTAGGTTTTCAATGATTTGTAATCTAATAAAGCCTCGTTTTGAAATCTACGGTTGTAAAGCGTGGTTTTCTTCTCTTTCTTCGCTGGAGATTTGCTATTATTGGGTCTAATCGGTGGCCAGATATACTTGCACACTCTTTAGAGCTCTCTTATTCAGCTTTCCCAGTTTATCAAAGTCGCTTGTATGACAAAAGTGGCATAGAAAAATGAGCAGCTAAAGTTGTCCGGCGCAAAAAATCGGTTAATTTATTCCGGACTTTGAACAGAGCAACAATTGGGCACTTCCACGAAGGGGGCAAGAACAAAATTTCCCACCCCTGGTACACCCCCAGTGGTCTTATTGCCTAGTCTTTACCTCGGTTTCCGAGTAACGCCTGGACGATATTTTGTAAAATGGCGACCAACGATGATCAAGTGTGTGCGTATTTAAAGCAAGAAATTCATGACAGGCTCCATAATCATTCTCTTTTCGCCTCTTCTAGAGAGTTTTAAAATCTGGCCATGTGAATTGGAAAACCAAACGAGGGTTTTATCGCCTGAACGGGCTGCGCGTCGACATTTTGGAGAGAAACAGTGGAATGTGCCAACTAGGTAAGTGGTCATATTTTGGCGTAAAGAGAAGAAAATTCTTTCTCGATCTCTTTCTCTCTTATAGCATATTGTTTACTACTAAATGAGTTTAAGTATATACGTTGTCGAAAATTTCGAAAAAGCGAACTGAATTTCAGGGTCGGTCAGTATAAAAATGTAGAGCAATGGTGGTGTAGTGGTGAGAGCACTCCGCTCCCACCAATGTGGCCCAGGTTCAGTTCCCAGGTCTGATGCCATATGTGGGTTAAGTTTGTTGTTGGTTCTCTCCCTTGCTCCAAGAGGTTTTTCTCCGGGTACTCCAGTTTTCCCCTCTCCTCAAAAACCAACATTTCCAAATTCCAATTCAACCAGGAATCAGGTAGATGAAGAACCACTATATGGATGTGCTACCTCCAAATCGTTATTTATTTTATTTATTTTTTTATATTTTGAGGTTTACACGATGTCAGAGTACAATGAGCAATGAGTAGCTCTACTCAGCATGCTTCCTTTAAATATATATATAGAACTGACACTGGTTTTGGGTATTTATCACGTCTTTGGTAGAAGCATGATTTAAATACCTTATGATGCTGTGTCCTTTGCTTTAGCCCCTCAGACAAAGCGGTCGAGACACAACATCCGGAGAATCTTTCATGCAGCACTTCTGTCATTTCCTGTGCAAGTGGTACTCTGCCAACTAAATTCTTAGGGCCTTGTTACATTTTTCCCAGAATTTTTCCAATTGCTCTAACACCCTCAAAATTGCAAAACTTCTCGTTGGCACTTCTGGCAGATTATCTGCGATACTCCCATCATATTCTGTTGTATAACATCGCACAACAGAACTGATGACAATGTTTTCAAAAACTCCTTGTTATTTTTTCTAAAAACATGGTTTTAAAATCAATTCTGCAAATCCTGCAGAAGTCATTGGGAACAATTCTGGTTTCTTTTAGCGGAGTTTTTATTCCTGGACTCTTGCTAGGAAACAGTGCTGCAAATTACCCGGCAAATTCCGTGCTTGACCCCGATTAATGCTATCAACAAGATCAAGTGACATCTTATCACTCCTCACCACACGAGTGGAGATGGATTGTTGTTACAATATTAATTTCCCCGGGTCAACTCCTGCTCACATGTTTGCTAAATTGCTATATTTGGTCACTTTTGTTATTAGCAGTTTGACGTGTTTGACAGCTGTCATCTGCATGAAACTGAGATTCGAGGCCAAGGCAAAAACCAGAGGTTTTTTCTCTCCCTTCTCTCCTCTTCGCAACTCATCGTCATCACTTCACGGCTCGCTCTTTCTTTCGCCAAGGAAAATTTCAAGAAAACCTCTAGGATCAGGGTATGAAGTAAGGTAGGTGTTAAAATTCCTCTTCCTTTCTCTTTTTGTTTTTAGGTGATAAATTTTCAACTATGGTTTGCCCTTAAGCACAGCTGATTCAGCTGAGTTTCGCATCTCAGTGAATAGTAGTAGCCTGTTAGTAGTAACAGGCCTCTGCCTTCCATTTCCTGCACTAACACTGATAATTCAACGGTCTGCACATTAATGCACAAGGGCTAGGAGTGTACAGTGAAAACTGTTTTATGCATCAGTCAATTCCACTTTTATTGAGTTTATTAATGAATGTCTTTGTGAGGATGTTGAGACACTAGGATATGACGATAATTTCTGAAAAAGGATATTATTATTTTCATAAAATCTTATGCTTGATATGTTCATTTTTCTTTGTGGACAAAGATGCTTAAGGTAACCTTGCCTTTGCTGACTTCTGTGTTCACATCAAATGTATGTATACTGCACACATGTAATTAAGAAATATTGAATCAATGGCCTCAATTGCTTGGTTTAACTCTGACAGTGGAGTAAAGCCAGTAGATTTTATTTTCTTAGAGAAAAGACAATGCAATGCTGACTTAATGTAACAGACCGTGCTTTGAGCACAAAGGCAATTCTTTCTGGAAAAATGATTTTAGTAGGACCTGAAAGAGCATATTAAAATTAGGTGCCCTGTAAAGCTTCAGGTGTGTGTTTCAAACGTAGTGACTGTGGCGGTCAGTGAAAGTTAGAAGGATTTGCCTGTATGGGGACATGGGGACAACTGTTGCTCCTCAGTCACAGCGGAGTGCTTTCCCATACAAATCCTTGTACATATTGTACGTTTTTAAAATTTTTAACTGTCATAGAACCTATCCCTTATGCATTATAGGCCTAAAATTTTTGTATGTCCATAACAGAAAAGCCCTCTGAAGCCTCTAATTTTGTTTTTGTTTTTGTTTTTTTTTAAAAAAAGTCGTTTCATAAAATAATCTCAGAAAGTGGTGGCAGCAGTATTTGGAGAGAAACTTCTAACAAATAGTTAATACCCACCTTTTCCTGGGTTGGTGGAGGTGGGGTTTACATTACCTCCTGTTTAACAGGTTATCAATAACAATGACTTTTAAGTTTTTTTTATCGAATTTGAAGATGCAAGAGAATACAACCTTAGTCACATTCTTTACTCTTGTGTGACTGCAGCTGAAAGTTGGTTTGAGGACAATGTAGTCCGGTTTACCCAATTCTATTTTTGTGTTTAAGTGAAAGCCAACTACCAGTGTACTTCACTCTCAGTCTGTTGCCATAGCATGTGTTTAAGTGAAGGCCAGCTACAAAGATGAATGTATTTCACTCTCAGTCTGTTGCCATAACATGATTAATTTAAGGAACCAGCTGGCTCACATACAAATCCCCAAGCAAAATCCCTACCCCGAGGACTGATAAACAAAACATGAAAACTTCTCAATCATCCACCCCACTGGAGTAGCAGTCTCTCTCAAATGATCACACTTCATTTCCCCACTAACTCCTACTTTGTCCCAAGAAGGAAGGGAGAGGGGGTCCATTGACTCCTGTGTTTAATATGCCAACATCTCAATGTAATTATTTTCCGTTTACTTCTCAGCTGTGCTCTATAGTAATTAAACAAAAACCTAAATAGAAAAACACTAAGAAAAAAAAAGAACATTGGAGACCGATTATTTCTTTTAGGAAGATTTTCATAGAAAGCTTTAGAGGTGAAAGGCCCTTAAACTTGCTTCAGCGCATAGATACCAAGAGAAGGTAATGTTATCTTTCATAATCTGACCTCGATTATTTAAAGAGCTTCTAATGCACCTAAACAAAAAGATAACCCGAAGAAGGTTTCCACGTTTTGATTTACTTTTGAATCCTGGTTAAGGTGTGTCTATTTTGTTAACAAACAGTTGAAGAGTGCCATATCTTAGCATGTAACTCTAACCTAACTCTAATGTTAAAAATACAATTATGGTGCCAATATTAAGTTAAAAAAAAAACTCCTGGTGGTCAGCGTTTTAAAGATAGCACACGACGGCCTGTTTGAAAGCCTCTACTGACTGCTTTTCAATGACACTACTTGGTAAGGAGTTCCAGCCTCTGATTGTACGTGCAATAAAACTGTGTTGGTATTTGTTTGTTTTAGCACCAACTTGAATGAATTTCTTAAGGTGGAATTGCCTAGTGCCCTGTCGCCTTTTAAATAACATATATGGTTGAAATTGTGTAGCTGATAGACCAGAAACTACTTTAAACCTTGTTGTAAATCGTGCCACTTTCCTTCTTTTCTCGAGTGTTAGCCATTTCAAATCATTCAGAATTTTCGTGACAGTTCCGGGAGTGGTGCTATATTCATTTGTAACAAAACGTGCCACTCGTCTCTGCACGCTCTCAACACTGAATGTGCGGGTCCCGTGTACAACATCCATACTCAAACCATGACGTCAGTTTAAGTTCCTTGAAGCTCGTCAGAGAAATGTTAAGACAATTTGAAGTATTGTAACCTCCGCAGGTATAGTTATCTCAATCACAATTTGTTAGCGGAGGAATACTTTCACTAAGAAGTGGCGGTGTATTCAGATTGTTATGAAGAATCGATTTATAGTGAATGCGCATTTAGCAAAACGACACTTCAACTGGGACTGACTTTTTTTGTTGTTTTCATAAGATTTGCGTTAAACACCGGCACAATAGCTGTAATGGGAGGTCTAAGAGGTGACTGTCCCTTAACCTCGCTTTAGAAAACATTAACTTTTCACGAAATCTGTCCTGGATTTTGTAAAGAGATTTATGTGCCTAAACAAAAAAGGAAGCACAGAGAAAGGTTTCCTCTAGTTTCCCTTTTGAATCCTGGTTTAACGGTGTGTCTATTTTCTTAGCAAGAGAAGGAGTGTCTGGCAAGGCTTCCAATCAAAGATTTGTGAACTCGTGTCTGGCAAACTCTCCAAGTGTTTATATATATACATATTTATACGCACCTTATAACTTCATCTGCGCTTAACGAGTGTCTTATGGTCCATAACTTTCAAAAAAACTGCTCCACAAACGCTTGACCGAAAAGAGTAGCGAAGTATAACCGCACAATAAATGTCACCAAATCTACCTAAGCGGTCCCTTCGGGATTTTCTGTCTTTACGTCATCTAACCATTTCGTACTTGCGGGTGCAAACAATAGAAACGTCATCATTACCTATACCGATTCCTCGCGGACCCTGTTCAAGCAAATCGAGATTTTTTCTGGCATGCTGACTGTATATTTCAACTGTAAGTACTCTCCCTCCTATCCGCGCGAGTTACTAGTCAGAGTGGCAGAGAGAATTATAGCAAGACAGAATAATTGATGTTGCAAAGAAAAAGCGTATTATTTTTGCATTATATATGCGACGTAAATCAACTTTATACAGATGTCTTAAGCCGACAGTAAAAATAATCAGTCGGGTCTGTCAAGGCAACGAAACTAGTAACTAGTAACGTAAGACTGCTGCCAATTTCAAAGAAAAGACTTAACGTGCTTTAAAATTTCCCAGTAAAGAAAGGAGTATATATAAAGTGTGTACTAAACGTTTATTACTTCCAATGTGACCTGTGTGATGCAGGCTATGTACGTTACACACGCAGACATTTACACAATCGTGTAAAAGGACATAAACAACAGTCCTCCGCCATTGCCAATCATTACATGTTAATGGAGTCATGACTACTCCGAAACGTCGGATTTTATCGCTCGTTTTTACCGTTTTATTTCTTAAGAAATCTCTTTTAATAGGCCTATATAATGTGACTTTATTTATTTTTCATAAAAACCAATAACTTTTGACTTCCTGGGGAACTCTATATTTTATTTAAGAATGCGATTTGGTGTCCTCAAATATAAACAAATTAACGTATCGCTTAAATGAAGTTTAACAGTATGTCTTATTACACCAAAATTAGATCCCTGGTTATTTTATTTTCAAAAGCCTTGAATTCCGGGCTCGTGAGAAAAATGGCGAGAAAAGCGTTACAAAATTAAACTAATAATTTGGAAGAGCGCACTCGCAAAATGCTGTTTAATGTTTTGTTCACGATTCTTTCGTTGAGATTGTACCAGTCCCATTATGGCTCTTGATTGTACTCATGGCGTTTGCTGAGCGAGATAAAAAACTGAGGGAGAAGACAGAGTAGTTACCTAAAATTTTGAGATAGCTTGAACAAGCGCTTTAGTTCGCATCTGAATTCTCTGATTCTGGCAGCACAGACGAAAGGATTCCAAGCCGAGCTACTAAAAGCAGGTAGAATTCCCCATAACAAATGTCGGTAAACTAGCGCCTTCTTGCAGGAATCTCTCGTAGTTACGTCTATGGCCGAGAACACCACGTTTGGGAAAAATGTCATGAAAAATATAGAAACAACGATAGCCACTGTCCATGCTGCTTTCCTATTCTTAAGCATGTCTGCAGCTTCCATTGGACTTAGGCGACAGATCTTTTCTTTTTGCTCATGTACTGCTTTAAATATCTGAAAATAGCTGTAAATTATTACTGCAAATGGTATGACGAATGTTAGCACAAGCGTTACAATCCAAAGAACAGATGCCTTGCCAGTATCCGCGACAAACAAACTGGAACATCCGAACAACAAAGATGTAATCCAAATTGAAAGGATTTTTCGGTAGCACCGCTTTTTTGTTATTATTTGTTTGTACCGAATGGCGAACGTTACGGCAATAAGCCTGTCGATGCTAATTGCGCAGAGGGTAAATGTTGATGTTACTAAACATTGAATCCAAAGAAAGTTTTCCAGTCTGTACACAAGGTGCGCGCTGAACCACTTCCTTGTGACAGTTAACGCGATGTAGACAGGATACACAACAAGGCCGACTTCGAGATCTGCAATCGCCAGCGATGCGATGAGGATATTTGACGAACTTCTCAGCGCGCGTACTCTGTAGATGATCAACAAAACTGTAGAATTTCCGCCGATAGCAACCAAACTGAAAAGAGAATTAAGCAAAATAAATATCACACCCCAGTCGTGTGTTAAATTAGGCGAACAGTCAGTCATGGCCCAGGCAGTGAGATTGTCCGTGTTTAAGCGTCAACAACGAAATTCATTTCCTTGTTCATAAAATAACACCTTTTAAAATAAAACTTCCTTTGCCAGGTAGTATTAGCTTTAGGTCGAATTTCGAAATTTATATATGTTAATTTTTGCCTGGTTTATGTAATTATTAATAACTTGACTTTTTGTCAAGGCCGACAAAGAACTCCGATTAGCGAATCTTACTCTGAATTAAATAGATGAAGCATCTGCGGTTTTGTCATTTGATTGACAGTTTTTAATGTGCACTTTAACCTGACAGCCCAAGTGTCTGGGCACTTATTAACTGTTCTTGTTTTATTGCAGTCATTTGATCATTCAAATCCATTTCCAATAAGTTTAAGTTATCGCCTGTATCCTGTTCAAGTTGATATGTCTACACTGTAATTACATAATGCAAGAGGCGCGAACTCGTAATTTAGAGAATACCACTACATTTGTTGTGAATGGACTAAAGCTTTTTAGTATATACTAAAACAGTGGATAGTGTTTTTCGCGCGCTCTGATTGGCCACTCAATCAGTGAATATCCTGCTCTATTCACTGATTCACCTCCAGTTCCTCCGAGCGAGCGACCCAAACTCACGTAAGTTGCGAGCAAATGCCTTCCCGGTTTGCTGCCGTAAACAAACAAAGAAATTCCACAACTAATCAATCAAGCTGTTTCCAAAATACACGAAGAAGGTGACGAAGTTCGGATTGGAAGTTTTAACAGGTAAAGCTTTGTCTTTTTGACACGAATTTATCGATAAAACCGGTTAAATTTTTTGTTTACAAATGCAAATTAAGTTTAAGTCGTGCGTTACTTTCTTTAGTTGAGTTGTTCATAAATAAGCTTAAAACTAAATTTAATAATCTTTTTTTATAGAATGATTTTAAATACAAAAAGAATTCACAACTCCTTATGAAGAAATTTCCCCGCAAGAGCTAAACAAATGCCTTCAAAAGTTTTAATCGTCGGCAAAAAAAAAGCGACGGCCGCGGCCGCCCGGTCATTACGCGCCAAAATTGTAGTCGTTGGCAACAGTATTTGAGTTAAAAATCATCATTTTTGTGCTCAATTATCTCACTGTTTTAGTATATACTAAAACAATTATTCACCTCAGTGTCGGTGGCTAGTCGTGGATATTTACCTCACTGCTTCGCAGTTCAGTAAATATATACGACTAGCCACCTCCACTTCGGTGAATAATTGTTATTTATTCCATAAAAGGATTGTATTTAAAAATTAACGGTACATTTAAGGTGAAAGGCATTAAATTTCTTTATTGTTTATTAAAATTTTTTCCTCCTTTCTGATTGGCTAAAAGCACACACATAATTCACCATGACCAGTTACTAATGTGTTTAACGAGGAAATGACGTCAAAAATGCACCCTTCTACAGGTTAATGCACCATTAACCGAGAAGACCTGGGGACGAGATTGAGTTATTTTCGTTGTAAAAACTAAAATGGCAGACACTTCACTCGTTTCAAGAGTAAGAACTACAGCTGGAACTAGGCGAAATAATGGTTAAAAACATAGCAAAAACAGACAGAAGGCGACTCGGAGGGCGACATCTGCTATGTGGAGAATATTTGCGGAGCTGAACAAAGCTAAACGTAAACTATCGAAGATAAATTTAACATCGATGCAGGTAAGCTTGTTTTGGCTATGTTTTTAAACTAGGAATTATTTTTTTTAACATTATTATTATTTTTTTATAATTCGGCTTTCGGATCATATGAAGAATTATGGAGATCTCGGAGGGTGTTATCCGCCTTGGCCTACGGCCTCGACGGATAACACCCTCCTCGATCTCCATAATTCTTCATAAGATACTCAGCCTTATTCATTAATTGTTAAGTAGGGTTTCGTGAAGCCTTTTATGTCTTGTAGCAAACGAAAACATTGGTACACGTTCCAGTTACTTGTCGAGCTCAATAATAAGGATTTTGAGGAGGTACTTCAATAGCGACTGTTTCTTGCATTAGTCGCTTTCCATTCAGCCTTAAATTCCGGCAATTTTCGGTAGGAAATCAAATGCAACGGACCATTTTGGTTCCGTCCGACAGGAATATTTAGGACCACCTTGGAAGGCGGTCCACTTAGACCAGTCTAGTCATTTCGGTCGGTCGGACCGAAACGTCCCTTTCCATTTGAGGAAGTTAATTGTTTTTCTTTACAACCGCTTTTTGGTAGCCTGCTTAAAAGTACAATAAGCAGACGTGACTTGGCTCGGGTCGGGTCTGTGCAACCAATGTTCATTTCCATTGGTCAAACCGGGATTTTTGTTCAAAGGAAAGCGCCTCTTGCTTCCATGGCCCTTTTTTTGAAAATATTAGTTTCAGTTGTCTGACAACTCAATTTATTTATTTCCATATCAAGGACTTTGCCTTGAAAGTGATTCAATACGGAAACACCCTATTTATAAGGATTCAATCGCGGCACCACTTTGAAGAAAACTAACTCCTTCCACACGGCCGCCCTAATAATAGCAAAAGATTTTCAAGTTGAGATGAAAAACAAATGCCACGAAATATTTCTGCGGACAAACAAATATTTCTTTGAAATACCCTTAATGAGACATTAGCTCAAGACCTATTATTTTTACTGAAAAACCCTTCTTGTCTTTTTAAACAGGTGGCCCGTTAAATTACTGTGATCAATAAAAAATCCATGAATCAGTTTTGATAACATCTAATAATGAATAGATCAGTCTGTAAAATGTATTTTTTTTTAATATACTTTCTTGGCATACCAATGTTTTCTACTAGGTTAAAAGAAGCTACGTGACGTCATGCATGGCCCAGGCGGTGAGGACATCTGCTTTTGTGCATTAGGAACGAAATTCATCTCCTTTTTCATTAATTAAACATGTTTTAAAACTTATTTTGCAAAATAATATTAGCTTTAGGCCCAGGTTTGTCTCTTATGTATGCTAATTTTCGTCTGGTTTAGTGAAATAAATAACTTGAAAGCAAAAGATCACTTATTAACAAAGAATCGATCCAAACAGTTTATTTGACGCTAATAGAAACATCTGCGTTTAAATTAAACTAGCCTAAATTAAACTGATTGAATGTAGTTGATGTTTAACTTGAAAACCCAAATTTCTGTGTATTTGACGGCTTTTGTTTTCTTGCGGATCGTTAATTATTGTCCATTTCCAATAATTTTAATTCATTATTTAATGTAGATTTGGTTAATTCAAAAGCAGCCTATTCAAAAATCAGCAAGAGGCTCCAACTCTTACTTAAAAATTAAATCTGTATACTATATGCGGCACGGCCGGCTTAGGATAGAATAAAGTTTCAAAGAATTGTAATTGATTTTTCCATTTCACGATCCGTTTGGTCAGCGCCACGGGTCGATGGAGAGCTGAGGCTGGGACCTTGCCTGCTGGCAAGCAATCCGGGGCGCTAGCGGGGCCACTACGCACGAGTGTAGTGGCTGCTATGTTTGCAGCCATTGGTAACGCGAGTTATTGTATGCGATTGAGGCCGGAAATGTTAACAGTTAATTGTAACTAATTACTTTATCATGTTAACCAAAGGCAGTTGTCGCGTTCGTCAGAACGCATCCTAATCTGGTGTTACTGTGGCACTAAGGCAGAAACATTTGAGCTATACACGGGCAACTGCAAATCATAATTAGCCCCCCCCAGGGACACATCGGCCGGGAAACTAGCCTGGACTCCTTTCGACTCGATTTCGTTTCTGTAAATGACGAAATGTGGATCCATAATCAATGATTACCTGTAGTTATAAAAATAGTCATTTCTTTAGGTTCCACGGTTCCGTGGTCTGCATTTCCGTAGATTAGTCTTATCCATTCATCCCAACTAGTTTTCTATTGTTTTAGACATTCGAACCCGTATTTCACTTGAGGCATCCTTTCACTGACTTTTAGGTTGAATAAATGAATTTTACCGAATATAAAGGTCATTGCACCTGATTTAGGTATGTTCACACTACACCGGATATTTTTTGGACTGGCACCAAAACCATACCGGGCTTCTGTTCACACATAAGAACGGTGATTTTGGCGCGATTTCTGTAACGGAGCGTAGCAACGCGCGCCGATCTCGAAAGTGGAGCGACACATATCTGATAGGTTCTGTGCCACACTCTGGTGTAGTGTGAGAAGGTATTTGGTCCGTAGCGGAAGTGAATAATTAACACATTATTTATCAATTAATAAATGAGGCTGAGTATCTTATGAAGATTTATGGAGGTGGATCGACATCAAGTCCTCTGAATTCTAAAAGCCTATCAGTTTGGCCTTAGCTCCGTTTGCAGTGAGACTTTTATTCTTTCGCTTGAAAAATAATTCCTTTCTAGAACCGTAATTGCAACCTGCGTACTTTGTTAAGGAAAATTGACTTGAAAGCAATAGCATAGCTGTTTGTAGGTTGAGTTTGATCGTCCGGGTGAACGTATTCCTCAATAGGACTGTTGTTGACAGTGACTGACGTTTCGACAACCTGTGTGGTAGTCATCTTCAGAGTCAAAGTGAGTTGTATCACGTCAGTTGATGGTGATCTGATTGGTCAATTACGTCGCGATGTTATCGGTCGTCTGTCAGTTAAGCCGTAATGTTATTGGCTATGAAGACTCGTAATCAGTAATTGGTGCGTTTCGATCCGTCTGTTGTCACAGTTAAACAGTGGTCTATTGTTAGTCAAATTGTCAGTTCTCCAGTCGTTCTCTCGTAGTTAATTTTGCTTGATCTCGTCAATAAGTCGTTTGTACGGCGCTGGTAACTGTTGGCTACGATTCAGTGGCGTTTGTTCTAAGTTAGTAAACCACTGAGCTTTCGAAAGTGAGACGTTGATAGTAGTCTGTAGAATACGTTATACATGTCGCAGAGTCCCAGTCAATTTGATGTTTTGTCTGTAAATGTTGCTCAGCAATGTGATTGTTGACGTCCCCATTCCTCGTCGCTCGTTTGCGTTCGGTCAGTCGCGTGCTTAGGTTTCTGCCGGTTTCACCAATGTAAGAAGCCTGGCAGTCGCAACATTTGATCTTGTATACTGCTCCCCGTCTGTGCTCCGGTTTGTCTTTGTCCCTGACATTAGTAAGCAGTCGCCGTAAAGTGGTTATCGGTTTGTGTGCAACACGTATATTGTAAGGTTGTAATATACGGGCAATAGTTTCAGAGGTGCCCCTGATGTACAGTATAGTCGGTGTCGTAACGGGGCCAGAGTCCATAGCTGTTTGTATTAAGCGGTGTACGTGTGGGTCAATTTTTAAGATAACAAACATCAGCTTTCCTATAATCACGTTTAAGCGGGAGAATGCGGAATCATGTACTCGAATATCTTCCTGTTTTTTTTTCCAAGTCTAATAATTTTTAAGTGTCTTAATTTTGGCAACTGCAGAGCTTCCACGCATCGTTGGGTTGATTGAGGCCATTATTACTAGTATATTCTATGCTCTAAGACCTCGAATTACATGACCTGCATTTTCAGAACAGAAAATGTCCTGATTTTTAGCAAGACAATCTGCGATACCTAGTGTACCAGTTTACGATCCTAATTCAATGTCGCATGAATAGTTGTTTATTTCCACAAAGTGTTTAGCCAACGGATACTGATTATAAAAGGTTTAAGCTCACTGGATAAGGTTAAACAAAGTTGCTTGACGTTTATCCCCAAGGACCATTGTAGTAAGTAGTTGTCGAACCCCAGCCAATCATTTTTCACAATGCCGACAACGCTAGCGGAATATACGCTAAAACGCTCACATGGTCCGACGACCCTTTAACCCCGTTGGAGAGATAGGTGCTAAATAACTGGTGCAAGTCTTCCTCATTCCAAAACCGAGAAGGTTTAATTAGAGATGCCTAGTGTTCATATACGCATTTGCAACAGAGGAGAGCTAACATCAAATACACCATAGTGAAGAATTAAGGCAATGATGAGCAAGCCACTCTTTGCTTTCCTTACCGCTCAGGTGCTTTATTTGCAGCTATATTTTACCAGTGGTAAGTTATTGAAATGACCATCGATTATTGTACTGGTGAATTACGAATTTCTGGTAATTTTGATCAAACAAGAATGGTTGTTGGCAAAGTTTGTTAAGGGGGTTGAAAATTGACTGCAATCTGACCAATACAAATTTGGTGCAGACTGCACGTTTCATGGTTTTCTCGAGCACCCCAATGATATTTCTTTATCTACGATGACAATTTTTCATGAGCATCTGGGGGGGGGGGGGGGACAAGGGCAGCAACTAGTGGTGCGGGATATTTATGGGTGAAATCTCTTCAAGCAAATTGGGAAGTGGGAGGCTTCTCTCCGGTACTTCTTGAAAACCTTGTAGGCAATAATTTTACCTGTTGCGCATGCAAATGTGCTTCCTCTGGGTCTCTGAAGACGTGCGTCAACGAAAACCTTATGAAGGATTATTCGTATTGGATAAGCAAAAATATCAAGCTGACAAAATACTCTCCGGGGCCCACCCAAAAAGGAATTTGTAGACGACGATCTCAGGCTTAAAGCACGTTCAAGCGGACAAAACACTCTCCGGGGCCCACCAAAAACGAATTTATCGACGATGATCTCAGGCTTAAAGCACGCTCTAGGAAGACGTGAGGCTCGAGCTCAACCTTTGCTTTCAAGGAAGTAAACCTCTTATGGGATGTAATCGATCCAGATGGATTAGACCTGTTGCGCGTCCAAATGTGCTTCCTTTGGGCCTCTGAAGACGTGCGTCAACAAAACCCTTATGCAGGATTACTCGTCTTAAATAAGCAAAACATATTAAGCTGACAAAATACTCTCCGGGGCCCGCCCAAAAAGGAATTTATAGACGATGATCTCAGGCTTAAAGCACGTTCTAAGAGACGTGAGGCTCGAGCTCAACCTTTGCTTTCAAGTAAGTAAACCTCTTATGGGGTGTAATCGATCCAGATGGGTTAGACCTGTTGTGCGTCCAAATGTGCTTCCTTTGGTTCTCTGAAGACGTGCGTCAACAAAAACCTTATGCAGGATTACTCGTCTTGGATAAGCAAAAATATCAAGCTGACAAAATACTCTCCAGGGCCCACCCAATAAGGAATTTATCGACAACGATATCAAACTTGAAGCACGTTCTAAGAGACGTGAGGCCCTTTGCTTTCAAGGAAGTAAACCACTTATGGGATGTAATTGATCCAGATGGAAAAAATGGTAAATTGATCTGCATGACATAGCAAAAAATTTCCAAATAAGAGGATCGTATCATTTTAGGGTGATATGAGAAAGATAGCAAAATGGGGAAAGGTAACCAAACAGTCAGAAAAAAAAAATATATATATTGTCCAGAAATAGATATTGTTGCATTCAGAATTTATTTGATTTCTTTTTCTTATTTATTAAGGTTTTAAACTTTCGTTAGTAACTGAAATGTAAAGGGTTTTATTGAAACTGGTGGTTAGGTCAACAAGTGCATACTTAACCAATAATTAACGATTAACATTTATCAATTTATTGCTGTTATTATTATTATTATCATTATTATTATTATTATTATTATTATTATTATTATAATTATTGTTATCATTATTATTATTATTATTATTATTATTATTATTGTTATTTTTATCATTATCATTATTATTGGGCGATTCTCTCCAGCACCCTGGTGTTTTTCTTGGTCTTCTCATTTCTCAGCTGCATCCAACAGCTTAGAGGCACACCACATTCCGCAAAACGTGAGCAGTACGAATTGATGGCTGATAACTGAATACTTCAAAAAATGTCAAATGTCGGGCAAACTTAATCTTCCATACCAGGCCTTCGCATTGCTTTGCATTGCTTTGCCTTCTTTTCCCATCTTTAACAAACCATTCCTGAGACATTCACAGGACTCCTCTCCAACCACACCTGAAGTTTTCGTAGCAAATTCTTCCTGTGGAGCTTCCCTTTCCTGACTTGCTCCTCCTCCCTTCTTTTTTAGTAGTCTTGAAGATTCTCTTCTTCAACAAACACCTTCTCCTTCAAAGCCATGCAGCATCCACTCGTGATATCTCTCTGGTAGCCAGGCAACAATTTTCTCTCCTTCTAACACTCCTCAATGCCAATCAACCCTCTCCCCCTTCTTTTCTCGGTAGATACAATCTGGCAACATTACTTTTGTTGTGTAAACAGCCATTCACTGCCAATATCGTCCTAGTTTTTCTTTTTCATGCAATCCACGATACCTACACTATAGCTTACTAAACCTACAGCCTAGGCATTGATGCACTAATAAGATTTCCGCCATTCAATTTGGATCTACGCAACCATCTTAATTTCTCTTCCGATGTATTCCGCTGTTACCTTGCCTTTCATCTAATCTAATTGCCAAGATATATGCACCCCCCCATATAGCCCCTTCCGCACCATCTGGCAGGTCTATCATCATCATCATCATCATCATCATCATCATCATCATCATCATCATCATCATCATCATCATCATCATCGTCGTCATCGTCATTATCGTTATCGCTACCGTTATCGTTATTGTGTATATCACTATCATGTTTTTTTTATTATTATTTTTATTTTTTACATTCAAGGGGCGGTCTTTCAAGCTGGGAAGGTAAATATTACCGACACTTCCCAAAACAACCATGGCTGCCAAGCCGTTTCTTTCGAAACTCAATTCCAGGGTTCGGGAGATGTAAAGGTGTTCGCGACGCTCAGTCACGGAAACAGATATGTTAAAATCCACGACCCAGCGTCTCTTTGGGTGAAGTCGGTGTCAACAACAGGTTTTGAAGCCTGCGTGCGAGAAGCAGGAAGTGGCTCTGGTGGGACGTCTGTTATAAACTGGCTTGCATTTCAAGGTTCGCATCAAGGCATAAACTCAGGGATCGTGGAATTTAATGAATTCACGTCACGAACACAATGCAAGAAGATATCGCTGAGCATTCAGAATCAGGTAACTTCGCGATGTTATCCAATTCATTCATTTAGTCTTCAATTTTAGTTTTAAAGTCATTACTCATGAAAACCGATAACTCAACTTCAACCTTAAGGGAAAAGATAACTAAAACGCCCGTGACTACTTCCCATCAGTAAAATTCCAAAAAATAGCCTTGTTTTGTAGATTGTTTAAATACTATGCCTACAAAAATCACCAAAAATGTAATGGTTATAGTGCTCCTTGATGAAAGTTGTTTGATATCTTCTTCGTGGCTCTGCGGGAACATTTAATGCATAGATAAATGGACACAGAGACTACTTCAGCACAGAATTGGCCTAAAGCAGCAATATCATCGTGGCATATCCCCTTTAACAAGAAAAGGGCTTAGCACTATATGAATCGTCCGTTTTTCCTATGTTTTGTTTGCTTTTCAAGAATCTCCTCCTTATTCTGGCAAATCGCCGCATGCAAAACCGAGTAACTCTTCAAAGCCGCAATGAAGTCGATACTTGATTATTTCGAATTCCCCAATCAACAATTGTTGCGAAGCTATAATGGCCATGAGCTTGTCATAAAGTTAGTCACTGTTAATCCGGCCCTTTTCGGGGCAACGGTCGATAATCATATTTAAGCTACTTATGGGGTGATTTTGCCTCTTCTTTTAGATAAAACCTCAAGTGTTTGTAACCGTTCAACATAAACATTCTAACCGTCCTTTTGATTCCATGAACATCTGGCTAGAAGAGGTCAAAGCAGACGGCTTCGTTGTTTGCTTGAGAGAGTTTATGAGTTTCGACGGTATCCATACCGGACTTAAAGTTGTGAGTTTTAAAAAATTTAGCCCAGTCTTCGACAAAAACGTTTTTCTTTGTCCTTTCTTGTTATCAATTAAATATAAAATTAAATCTGATTGTATGGAAGCTAATTAAAAACCTGGTGGTTAGTTTGGCCTCCCCTTATAAATTACATAAAAATTATATTAGGACTGAATTATTGTAATACCTAACCCATAAATGTTTTAAAACCGTGAAACTATGAATTAGCTTTGCAAAGACAGCCTGACGAAAAAGGTGGAGGGGTGGACTGGAAGTGAAAGAAAAAAAAAAAAAAAAAAAAAAAAAAGGGGACGCTGATCAGGCAGCGGGGTTCTTTCATAGAGCGGCTTTTCAGCCTTAACAAAATATCCCGCCTGCTGCGCATGTGCAGGCTTTTTGAAAAGAAAGAAAGTTTTCTTGAAGTCGCGCATATAAACTATCCTCGTCAATTCCCTAATGCATTCTGTGCCGAAACTTTAGGGTTCACTAGTGTGTTGTGATGTCACATGAAAGCTATCCGTTTTTTTATTCATTTATTTATCTATTGTTTTTTAAATCTTATTCAGCCCGGTGGCTTTGAGGCCTTCTAAAACTTTAATGTTGAATAAATTTAAAACCGTTCACCTACTTGTTGGAATGATGATTACACTATTTTGTGTAATCTTAGTGGCGGTCTCATGAGTGGTTATAAAGTTCCCGAAGGGGGACTTCGAAGGCCCCTTCCCCCCTCCAATTCCCAGGAAGCCCAAAAACGCCCGGTCAGAATAGTGTTAAATGTAGGTCATGGTATTTTGCTTCTTTCCTAGACTGCAGATACGAATTTTTCTCAGGGTTCTCACCGTCAGTTTAAGTTTTCTTAAAACCATAAGGAAAGACGTTTAATGCTGTGACTGTTACTTGCGTCCTTCTCCTCAGAACTGGCTTGCTTATGATTTGCTACCTGAGGTTTGGAATTTTACGGAGCAAGGAAGGCTTCATTTTTCTGGACTTGGTGCACCAAAGAAAGAGAGCAATTATGCCTTTTGTCAGGTTGGAAAATGTGACGTTTATTGATAATACATTCAATTTTTATTAACTTAACTTACAAATCAAGCCTTTAAACCATCGTGGTAACAATTAACGTTTGTGTTGTGCATTTCTCATTTCTTTGAGGGACACTGCGGCATGGGCGTATTGTGCATTTTTGAAATAAGGGTTTAAGTCCAACAAGAGATACGACCTTCTTGATTATCAATAATTCGTTAAAAACCTCATGCGTTGTTCATAAGAGTTGTGATTTAGATTTGTTGACCGTTACGTGGTAAGGAGGTGCATCCACTATTAGATATATTTTATAGACCTTGAGTTTGCCTAATCAGTTCCTTAATGAACTGGGACAATATCACTTTCTTCAAAAAGGATGAAAGCGACAATATACTTTTTCTTTAAACAGTCAGAGGGAAAATTATTGTGTTTGGTAAATCCTGATTTATAGGATTACAAGTTTGAGAATCCATTCTACGAGCCGCCCAATATTCTAACGTTTGCCACCCATGAAAATGGCACCAGGGAACTTTCAATGAAGGCAGATGGTCGCTATAGCAACGCTTTGACTGTCTGGATTGAGGTGAGTAGCCTTGAAGAGACCTAATAAATTGAAACTGTTTCAGATATTTGCTGATTAAAATAGTTGCCTTCGCTAAAGAATAAAGCACTTATAATAAAAAAAAAGAAGTTCAAAGTGGCACTTAACACTTGACGGCAAATTCAAGCAATAACTTGAATCATCAAGCTGATTGTCACTTCCCGTACTCATTTTTCACCTCCGGCTGATGATTCTTCTTAACGGAGGCTCCGTAGGTTCATGGTTTAAAAAAGGTCACATCTGTAGATTGTAATTTGTTGATCACGATCCATTCTTATTTTTACCTCGTTCTATGGTGATTATGATTGAAAACTAACTTTCTCGGAATGTATTGTTATTTTCATGTATTTTTATTTTCAACTTTGTCTAGGTGGCCTCGGTTATAGTAGTCGCACTGTAACAGAGAGCAGCGTCCATTATAATATATAGATTTAGCCAGGGCTGAAAGCGAAGCTCCAATTAATAAATTTATAACTTAAATCAAACAATAAACTTTTAATGCACAAATCAGTTGACTTAAGGGTACATTCATGTGACTTTTGAGGGACAGGCTAATATTAATATTTTAGAGTGAAACATCTTACATCGAATTGATAACCTTATATGTACACCCAAAAAATGGCAAACTTCTTCGATCACATTCAAGATCACAGTAGATTAGGCCTCGAAAACAAATTCTTGGAAAACAAATCACGCCAAATTTTTTTGCGTTCGACCGGTTTACTTTACAAATTCTTGCCAACAAATCTTGGGGTGTTTAAACCAACCTTTTATAATTTTTATACATCACATTTGAGGTGAAACAGTACTATTTATCGTACAGACCTCGGACAGAATGTGGTATTTCACAATTTTTCAAGACAAATTGCACTCAGTCAATATTCAGGACGATCAATCGTGGGCTTTAAGCCAAACCGTTCAAAAATTTCCAAAATCACCCATACGGCCAGCTGGTTCTCGTTTCTATAGTGCGAACTGTCAGTGTGGTCGAGTGTTTGAATGAACTTTAACAGAGTTACACTTCAACGTAATAGCGAATTTATTATTATTTGTTTTGTTATTTAATGGTTTCAGTTATAACGATGTGTAATCTTATAAAGTGTTTGATACGCGCGACATGCAAGCCATGGTCAGGAACGATGAAAACAAACGGCACAGACAAGCGATTAAAATTGCAAGAGAGACTACTAACAATCAAAAAAAGAGATATAATTCTGTGAAACATTTACAGAGACAACAATTTTCATTCATGAAGACAAGTATTAAAAATCCTGGGTCTTTAAGCGTAAAGCTCGGCCTGCTTCCCGGCGCGGTGTTTACTGTTTTCGAAGATGAACACCTTGAAGCAAGAAAATCGCTCAAAGTTTTCTTTCTACAGCCAAATTTATAACTAAATATTCTTCGAAACGTTTTCTTTCTATTTGTGGTTAGCAAATATATCTGAAGGCTTTTTAAAGTTCTGTAAGCATGTCTCTAACCTAAAACGAGGTCAGATCAAGAAAGGATAAAGGGGACAGAGAAGGCATCCCCATACACACCCTATTCCATAGGTAATTCGTCTCGAGTTATTTTTAGAATCGGGATAAAGTTACCTCGCGCGAGGCGTGGATGTTTCGTGGAGGTTTCGCATGACTAAACGCCGTGCAAAACATGTCGGGCGAAGGCAATGAAAGCGTAAAAAGATCGAGAGCATTCTTGAATATTGAAGCGAAATGAGTCGGCGCTCACCTGGGAAAAAGGAATCGCTGGACTCTTTGACAACCCGTGAAATCAGTTTAACTCGAAGTTGTCGTAACCTCAGTGCTTTAATAAAATGAGAAATTTCGCCGGTCTATTGAAACCGGTCGTACAATAGGGAGTTTAAGATCCAACGACGCGGACGACAACTAGAACGTCAAAAAATAATAGGTTTAATTAGCAAAACAACAACTTCGCACGTGCAACACACTTTTTTGTTCATTTCTTTCCCGTTTTTGCACGACTACGACTTGAAAATGCCTAATTTCGCGTTTTATGGAGGACGTAAACAAGCAACGACGAAATTTTATTTCTCTTTCTGAGCTTGAATATGGTCCCTTGAAATTCAGCTTTAGGAGGGTTCGCCTACAATTGACAAAGTAAGTGGGTAGGAATAATCGCTATAAAGACTGAAAAAATTCAAATTCACTTTTTAAGCGACGTTCTTGTCGCCGTCGCGCCGTTGGATCTTAAAGTCCCTAATAAGGCAAGTAGGACGCCAAGTGTTATTTTTGTTGAATAATAAAAGACTAATAAAGGAATAAATATGAAACCAGAAATTGCTCTCTTCAAACTGTAAATTTTAAATGATCCTGAGAGAATATTCAGTGTGTTAAGGATTTCCCTGCTGTACTGTTAGCTCTATACAAGAGAGGAAGGGCGATTCTTTTTAAATTTCCGTTTCGCTGACACAGCTTTCGCATAAATCTCGCTGTAGTCGTTTTCGTCGACAAAAGGAATAGCAAAATCGCTCTCCGCGTCTTCCCCCATTTTGTTCTGCGTCATTTCGTGAAGGACGCGTGGCTCTCAGCGTGGGTCATCCACGCGGAACACATTCGCGCTATGTGATTGGCTGTTGTCTGATCCCCCTTGAGATCTGTGGTGTTAAAAATAACTCGAGACGAATTACCTATGGAATAGGGTGTGTATGGGGGATGCCTTCTCTGTCCCCATTATCCTCTCTTGGTCAGATCAATGACTCAAATCCTACAAACGTGATAAAATTGCCGCATAAACTGTCAGCGTGAACTGTGCAAGACTTCATGAAATTAGATTTAACGAAAACAAACATCAAATACAATAATTACTTAAACTTACCATTCGAGATTCAGTTTCTGAAAGCTATCAAGGAAGGCCACAGTTGGTTGAGACTTTTAAACCCTCTTACGCATTAAGCAAGGTGAAAAACGAAAACGATGCCATCCGAAATCGAATTACCGAATTTTGACAAGCGATGTATTTCTCAATCAAAAGCCCAGTAAACAAACCAGCCATGAATGACAGAAGACTCTTGATAGCAGCTGTATTTCATTTTTTACATCCAGAGGAAAAAGACAGTTAAAAACATCACAAGTTGACACAAAACTCTGTCAGCTTCGGCTGTCAAAGTAAACAAGTTTCAAGATGCTGCATAATTTTTCCGCATGAACTCACCTGTCAAATTTTGACCAATCAGAGTATAAAAATTGGACGTAGAGCGTGACCAACGCGTGACCATGGTAAGATAAAGCCTTCCCCCTGTACTTTTAAAAAACTGGGTGAATTTTCGCTTCCGAGGTCAGTTTGAAATCAAAATCCTAATAGTGCGGGGCCATAGTGACATAAACACAACATATTTGATATGAATCCTTGGAAAAAATAAACTTGAGCCTGCAATCATTTGAAACTGGTAATTTGTCAGCGGATAACTTCAAAAAATACTAGACCTCGATGGGTCGACACTTGAGCCTTCGGTACCGTCAGGTGATACTGGTCAGCGGATGCCCTGTGTTGATAGCTGTCAATTGATCACAACATTGATGTGCAATTAGTTTTCTCTTGGGCTCCCAAACTAGCTAAAAGTGTGAGAGTAAACATTGGTTTTCCTGTGGTGCGGACGAACGGTCGGCGGTCGGTCGGTGTACGGTCACGTGATTACCAAATTTCCTGGGATGGGTAGATTTACTTAGCTATAGGGCTCCGCTATGACCGTGGAAACTGTACATCCGTTTAAACGATTCAAAGTTGCTCCTGTCCTTATTGCCTTAACTGGACGCCCCTGTCTGAAAGCTAACAAGTCAATATAAGCTTTTTGCGTTCGACGTTAGGAGAACGCTTCGTAATCTTTGGGGATCCTGTGGTCGATGGGATACCTGTGCATGCCAGGCGTGAAGATTCGAGATTTTTGGTTACTTGGACGGGCGATGTTCAAAATCTGCGCCATTTTGAATAATTATTAAGCGCGCGCACGAATTTTAAGCCCAATAGCCGGCCAAAGAAATTGCGGGCTCACCTGGTGGACATGCGCACACAACTATTTTTTACGTCATAAGCAATTGTCATATGGCAATCACGTGCATCACTGGTTCCATCAAGGTCAACTAGATGATTACACGGGAATATTTGAGTTCGGCAAAAGAATGAACTTTGGAGTTGTTTTCTAAGCGGGTTTTATCACTGAGCTGATGATTCTGCTAAACTTTTCGGTCAATGCCGTTCAAATCGAGCTGGAACTTCGTAGAAACACACAAATAAAGACCAGGTAACATTTGTGCCGTGAGAAGTTTACCCGTGCGTTTGAGTCTATTTACATATTTGTAGTTTAACCTCTTTCATGCACGAAAAAGTAAGCTTGAGCGTATCAGTGCAGTTTGTTACAACTGTAATGCTTTATTCACGTCTGATATCTCTACGCGGGTAATTTTGCATGATAAGTATCTCGCTCGCTGAAGCAAGCTAAGTTTAAAACATGTTGAACTGACCTACATGAACGTAAAATAATCATGAGATGAAAAGTTTGCACAATGGCAAAAGATTCTGTCCGGTTCTCTGACATCAGTAATCTAGCAGAAACCTAATATGTTTCCGTCGCTCCTATGATCATTGATTTCACTTCAAGTTGTGTCACGCAAGAAGCCAAGACTTTTAACCTTCAAGGCTACCATTTTTTCGAAGTTTGTAGTGACATGTTTATCTTTTTAACAACAAAGAACTTTTTACGATCTACTTTACATTTTTATCGACCATGCTTGAGGGAGAGTAAGACATTTTAAGAGTAGAGAGTTAATGAGTGAGATATTTTGAAGCCGTATACGCGAAGAACATTTTTTACGAAAAGAATGTTTACCTTTTAATTCATGATCTCTTCCATGATTTTGAAATCAAGCTTGACGACACAAAAGCTAATCTGGAGCTAAGAAAACTCGAACGCACTTATTGATCTATGATTACTACTAGTTATTTATTGGTATATCTGATGTTATTTTCCAGGAGATCACTCGTTTGTCTTTCAAAGTGTGCATCAAAGACAGTCAGGGAATGAGCAAGTCTCACGATCCAGTTACAGTGGACTATGCTATAGTGGGAGGTACATTACTCTTATATTTGCTTATTCTTTAAATTCAAAGATTTGTCTCTCATACCGGTTCGTCCTATTATCAAGGCATTTCGACGTTGGGTCAAACGTCGAATTGAAGAAATGAATTCGAATACGAATAAAGTCAGGCAATTGGCACTGTAAAAACCTGTGATCAAATCTCGAAGAAAGAAGTTGTAAAAAAATGACGTTCAAATAAGGACAGCATCGTATTGTAAAAAAAGTAACTCCCCATTTCGTATCTTTTTTTGCCATCAATTGTCTTCAGAGGAAAAACAAAGAAAAATTTTAAAAAATTGAAAGCAGTTGCTCTCTCAAAGGATGTAGGACGTCAGGTCAATTTGCTATTCATACAAGTGCTGATTTTCTTGTTTTGTTTTTTTTTGACCTAAAGATATAGACCCATGCACAAACGTTACTTGCGATTACCATGCCATCTGCAAAGCTTTCTCTGCATTTGATGCCCGTTGTGTTTGTGATGACAACTGCCCGTCGTACGAGGAGCCAGTGTGTTCGTCCAACTCGACAACATTTAAGAACAAGTGCTTTTGTCTGCTGGACATTTGCAGGCGCAAGAGTAACCACACTCTCTATCATCCCGGTAGTTGTACAGGTAAGAGAGCGGATTATAAGGATTTTTAAAACCATCTTAACCAGCGCATACAGAGCTCTAGTGTTATGAGATATGGCGCCGCTGATGACTTACGACATCACTCAATTTGGCGGCCATCTTGGGTGCCATCTTGGAATCACCGTTTTAAGCACATGGCATTTTCCGTGAAGCTGTAGGTCCAAAATAAATCACGATTAAATACTATTTTGCTTATTTTGGTACTGTTTTGAACGCAACAAAGTGCCAGTCATATAGTACCACGATATGATTGTGTGATTCTACAATCAGCTTTTGATTTAATTCCTCGCATATAGAAAGGATTTTACACGTTTTTCTCATCCTCATCAGGTATTTGTAGGATGCATCTTTATTTGTCTTTATGTTAACTTTATTGCTGTTGTTGTTTGTTTGTTTGGTTGTTTGTTTGTTTGTTTTTTCTTATCGCTTTCAGCTCTAATTAGCTTTGTTTTTCTTCTATGTTATATCTTCTTTTTCTTGTTGTTCCTCGACAGGTTTTCCTGTTCAGACTGGGCGAGTTTCACTGAAAAGACATGTACAGTGGGCAGAGACGGCCTGTGAACTAGTGAAATTCCCACCGTTTTCATTCTATCCAGACAAAGAAGTGCACGTACAGATAACGACCAATCACTGGAACATAAGCAAGAAAAATTTTGTTCATGATGCTACTGTGTCCTGGGTGGAAACTGTTAACTTCGAGAATTTTGAGGTGAATATTTTAATAGGAAGTTTTCAATTCAAATACGTGTATTACTTCAAGTAGTAATTAGTGACCTTCTGCTCATTTGTCTTACATCTCCAAGAGCTCTTGTTTACCTGTCATATTTCTGGCCAGTAAAATACTATTTGAACATATTTTATTTTCACAACGAGTTAACAGCGAAGATTTCGTGTTTTGCGCGCACAGAGGAGCACTATGGGTAAGAAAAATTGGTTATCTATACATCCAAGAAATTTTGATTCCTTACAAAATCGTGCGTACTTACGTAGGACGGCGTCTTCATGTTAACGAATGTGAAATGTCTTACTAGCTGTAAATCCAAAACATATACAAATTGTGTTTAACTCGATTTTAGACATCCATGTCATAATCAATTGAAAGCTGTCAAAGTAGGGCATCCCCAGACCAGTGTCACACGACTTTATGGCTTGCTCAGGTGTGTTACTTATTGAGGTGACGGTTTTTTTAAGTTCTCAGCTGACCAGTTATAGAATCAAGTGATCGCAGGCTTGGAAAACGTTTTTTCAGCAAGTCAGTTTACGAGAGCTCCGCTTTTGACCTTGGCTAAATCTATATATTACCTTACCATAATATATAGATTTAGCCAGGGCTAAAAGCGAAGCCCCCATTAATAAATTTGTAATCTAAATCAAACAATAAACTTGTATTCCACAAATCAGTTCACTTTAGAGCACATTCATGTGACTTTTGTTTTGAGGGATTAAGGCTAAGTGATTTGAGAGAAAAATAATTTGCTAACAGTTCAAGAGTGCACCAAATCTTACATCGAGTTGATGGCCTTTATATGTACACCCAAAAAATAGCAATCATCTTCGATCACATTTAACGGCCACAATGGCTCTTGATCACAGTAGATTAGGCGTGGAAAACAAATACTTGGAAAGCAAATCCGGCAGAATTTTTTCCGTTTGACAAGTTTGCTTTACAAAATCTTGCTACCAAATCTGGGGGCGTGTAAACCAACCTTTTTATACTTTTTATACATCACATCTGACAGTCTGAGGTGAAACAGTGCTATGACGCGATGTTTTTAATTTATCATACAGACCTCAGACAAAATGCAGTATTTCACAATTTTCAAATATAAATTGCACTCATTCAGTATTCAGGACGATCGAAGCACGCGTGGGCTTTTAGCAGGGGAACCCAACGACAATTTTCGGAAAAATATCTGTTCGGAAGACGATTTGAGATCTAGAATTTTCGGAACATTTCTTGTAAAATTTCTTGCTTCCATGCCTCTCCTAGGATTTTCGAACAAATAAAAATGGTATACTTGCCCATAATTAACTAATTTTTACCCTAAAAAGTTCACCTAGAATTTTCGGGAGCCTATTTTCTGGCTAAAATTTTCGACCAGGTAAGTTTTGATCCCTATAATTTTCGGATCACTAGACTTTCAGCTAGGAAATCCGAACAGATGAAAAATTTTTAGGGGATAAAAATTTGCCTATGTCTACCGTTTAATTACTAAAATACATTTAATAATGCTATGTTTAAGTCGTTTTGAACTATATTCTCGTTGGGTGCCCCTGTTTTAGCGAAACCGCTAAAAAAATTTCCAAAATCACCTATATAACGGCCAGCCAGTTGCAAGCTGTGGAGTGTTTGAATGAACATTAATAGAGTTACACTTCAACATAATAAACAATTTATTGTCTTTATTTTTTTTATGTAATGGTTTTATAACGATGTGTAAACTTAAAAAGCGTTTGATACGCGCGACGTTTTGAGTACTCCTGCATGCGATGTTCATGAGCGACTGAAAACATTAACGGCAAATTGCAAGAGAGACTACTAAGAATCAATAAAAGAAATATAATTCTGTGAAACATTTACAGAGACAACAATTTTCATTCACGAAGACAATTAAGTATTAAAGTGTCTCTAAGAATCCTGAGTCTTTATGCTTAAAGCTTAAGTTTATGTTTTAAGCCGGCTTCCCGGTGTTTGTTGTTTTCAAAGATGAACTGGAGGAGAGAAAATTAGCTTTCTTTTTACGGCCAAAATAAAAACGCAACGTTTTTTTCTTTCTATTTTCGGTGAAAAAAAATCGACTTAAGACTTTTTAAAGTTCTGCAAGCTTAAATCAGACCTCATACTATAGGTCAGATCATTTAGGTCAAATCTTAATTCAGACATGCATAAACTAGCCTCATAAACTGCGCTCAGCTTCATGAAATTAGATATATTAATAAAACAAACACAAATACAATAATTACTCAGGCTTACCATTCGAGATGCAGCTCCTGGAAGCTATCAAGTATCGCCAGAATCGCTTCAAACTTTTCAATCAAGCAGGGTGAAAAACGAAAACGAATCGATGCCATGGAAATCGGATTTCCGACTTTGACAGGCGACGTATTTGTTAACCAAAAACCTAATAAACAAACTAGCCATGAATAACAGAAGAATCTTGATAGCAGCTGAATTTCATTTCGTACATCCGGTAGAAAAAGAGAGTTAAAAACATCACAAGTTGACACAAAACTCTGTCAGCTTCAGCTGTCAGAGTAAACAAGTTTCAAGATGCTGCATAAATTTTCCGCATAAACTCACCTGTCAAATTTTGATCAATCAGAGCATAAAAATTGGACGTAGAGCGTGACCAACGCGTTCACGGACGACTGAAAACAACAACTGGCAGAACGATCATGTAAGAACGAGATCCTGACAAACAATCAAGACAAGAAATTTACAAAACTGTAATACAAAGAAACATTTCAAGGTCAACAATTTTTATTCCCGAAGACGTGTTTTGAGAGTAAAGTGTCTCTGAAAATCTTGAGTCACGAATAGATTTAAATTAAGCCTTAAGTTTTAAGCCGCCTTCGCCGTTTTTGCTATTTTGCAAGATGAACTCCAGGCAAGAATATCGCTCAAAGTTTTCTTTTTACAAACAATAGGATAACTAAACTATTTTTCAGAACTTTTTCTTCTAGTCGCGGTCAGAAAATGTCTACAGACTTTTAAAGTTCAACTTCTTTACTAGGTCAGATAAATTGATTCAAACCTTACAAATGTGCGTAAAATGAAGGCATAAACATGAAAAAAGAAAACACATAAAATGCGATAAAATTACTCAAGCTTACCGGTCGAGGTGCAGCACGGAAACCCATCAAGTAAGGCCAGAATCGCTTAAGACTTTTCGCATAGTCCAGCAAGGCGAACTAAGCTTACAAAGAGTAGCTTATTTTTGAAAACGATGATTCCCGATTTCTTTTTGTCGTGCGGCGCATTTCTCAACCACAACCCAATAAACAAGCCAGCCAAGAATAACAAAAGAATGTTGATAGCTGCTGTATTTCATTTTGTAGATCCAGTGCAAAAAGACATGTAAAAACATCACAAGATGACGCAAAACTCTGTCAGCTTCAGCTATCAGTGAACAAGTCGCACATGCTGCATAAATTTTCCACTTGAATCCTCTTCGCTAGCGTGCCTGTTAATTCTTACTCTATGCTTTTCTCTTCTTTCTCTTTCCCGTCGCTCTTCACTTACAAGCAAATAGTTTGAATTCAATCTGCTATTGTTTGTTGCCATAACAATTTTTTCGAAACAGTTCACTAGAAACTGAGCACTACGGTCACAAAATCTTTATGCAATGAAGTAGTTGAAGTAAACATGTTTTTGAACGCGACGACAGCCACGCCAATTCTTGCGCGATTTCCCGCCAAGAAAACGGTGGGTTGCACAAATGCTTCGCGCGATTTATAACATACTCCTCCCTCGGACAGGCTGACACCTGATTCCCTTCCCTCCCCCGCAAAGAGTGTACGGGCGTACGCTACGTCATAACCAAATTTTCTCGGATGGATTGTTTACCAAATTTTCTTATCCATCGTGCTCCGCTGGCGCGCTTCGCGCGCCGGAGCTCCGCTATAAAATAAACATTACCCATTACATTTAATCTTTAGGTGTGCGTGACTGCAGCAGGAAGAAATGATCGCTTTATCAAAGAATTTGCCACGGTGGACTGGATGGCCTACCAAGGAGCACCTGATGGAGGTGTGGCGGATAAAACGCGCATTCCAGAATGGTGGACTGGATCACAGTGCTCAAAAGTCAGCCTTCCTCAGGCAATAACACTTCATTGTTACCTCTCAGCTGCATCTTGTTTCGTTGCATAAACCAGAAAAAATAGTGACCTTTAGTTACGTTTTTCAGTAAGGTGAACATTTGCTATGATGATGTTGTAAGTACCAAACACTCCATTGTTATCCAATCAAAGATATCCGTACTTGGACTTGGAGACATGAGCTGGAAAGAGGCAGCCCAGTTTTGTCCGCGAAATTCGTTTTTTTTAAATCAAATTTTACACTTTTTGTCAGAAGGGGGAGATATTCTCAAAAACGTATTATTTAATACAAAAATTAGGAGAAAGAAACTTGTACGGTCTAGGGCTAAATTTGACAGTCGCGTTCAGACACATGACCACGATCCGATGTCCTATGAGCGTCCCCATCATGTAAAATTTTTATTTATTTCAAATTTCACACATACCATTCTCCCAATCATCTTTGCTGTGAATACTTGATAACCAATTAAACTTTCTTACTGTACATGTTATGAATATTTTTTTTTTAACAGGGAAAATTTGCGTCTACACCAACGGTCTTGGTTACAGCAGAACATATGAGTGCAGACTTTAAGCACGATGCCGCAAGTTTGTGGGTAGAAAACGCAACCAGTTCGTCCTTTTACATTTGTCTTCGAGAACTACAGAATTATGATGGTCTACATGAAGATATCTTTGTGGTATATATTTTCTCCTTTATAAATATATCTGTCTGGAGTTTGCTAAAACGTGGCTAAAGAAATTTCAAGTGCATTTTATCAGTCTGATATCTGAGTCAAATGGAAAGCAGTTAAAAGTTACTAGCTGACAACTTTATTGCTGGCAACAGACGGTAAATTTCTCTCTCAGAAGTAACAGGATTTTGGGATAAAATAAACAACATTTGAAAAGTCCAGAAATTATAACCTTTTAGTCAGCCAAACCTTGAGGCTCATAGTTAAGTGTCTGCCGAAAACAGATTAAGAAGCCACAATCTTTGAGCACAGAATAGGCTTTCTAAGCCAAAATCATCTAAACTAACTCTCACAAAGCGGTTTTATGCTTGGCACAAAGTAATCTGTTAACGCGAGCTCAACCACATACCTGAGTTTTGTCTGTCAACACCTTCGGTAAATCACACAATAAAATCACTTTCGATTCAATCACAACACTTCCAACCACTCATAATATTTCCACATTTAACACGCGCGAATCATCGTCAAATTACTTGGAGCGATAAAAGTCCGGTCTGAATAGGATCAATCATAAAATACGTTAAATGAGATCTCACAAGTATTGTGGATACAACTTACAAATCGTTTTTCGGGAACATAGCATAATTATTTCCAAACGGGATTTACGTATGAGATAGCATATCCATTTTTGATTGCTATCCCTCTCTTTAGAGTTGGATGGCCTTTGAAAAAATTCACAGGCCCCTTTTCGCTGAGAGCAAACACGTGGATTTTCCAAACAACGATTCCGTTTCTACAAGCTACAATGGTGCATTTTGCAAGGTAAGAAGCACTTTACTTTTAAGCAGAAGAAGGCTCTGTAACTATTTAGATGGAACAGCAGAGAGAAACCGCGATCAACCCCCCTCGGGGGCTACTCCCTTATATAGGCTATATAAGTATGTGCCGCTCCATCGGGTAGGGTTTTTGCGCCGTTTTGGTCTGACCACGGGTATACACTTTGCCCATATTGGTCTGGAATGAGGCCATGAAAGGAACTTGTTTTTCGACAGTTCATCAAAGCCGTCGGAAAAAAATCTTCAACAAAGAAGTGTTTTTGGTACTCAAATATTACCTGTTTCTTCGAGTCGGCGCAGATACATTCCAGCCACCAATTATATGACCATGCATTGATGAAAATGGATGGTGTTTCAAAGTTTATACCAACAGCCTTCTTTTTGTGTCCTTAGGACGTCCCATTTGCAAAGAATTACGACAAAGAACCCATAGTATTAATAGCAGCCGGTCACAACTCAGAAGGCAACAATTTAAAGCCAATATACATGTCCGTGACCCCATGGATTGAGGTATTCTCAAATTATTTAACTAATATACAACACACTTTAATCAAAATAAGTAACATCAAGCTGATAACCCTGTAGCAAATGCGCATATGAGCTAAATTACACCAAGGTCTGTTCATGCAGTCTCTTTATCGGCCATAGTCGCGCAGCGAAACGACCCATGTATTTATCCATCTGTTATTCACGGTCAGTTTCCCAAGTTCTTTTTTTTTGTTGTTGTTTAGATAGGAATTCAAAATGACCCAGTTACAGGTGTTTAAGCGAACGTCTCTAAACGTTGAGCTATTGCTGTTTGTTCTTGTAATCGAAATATATGACGCTAGATGATTTGCTTATTATTTTACAGCACATCAAGACCAGCGAATTCCGCATTTGTCTCAAGGAGTTGTTCGCTGACCAGCATGATCCTGTGACTGTGTCCTATACAGTACTAGCAGGTGTGTTAGTAAATGATAAAAAAAAAAATTCCTTTGCAAAGACCTTCTCATGCCCAGCAAGCTTTGGTAGATGTCAAGCAAACTTAGAGACTCCTTGTTTCATATCTCCTTTAAGTAATCACCAGTAAATGTATTTTCTTAGTTCCTACTTACTACAAGCATTTGTTTCTATTTCCAAAAACTTCTCGGTCAGCTAAGGCCTAAGCCAAACGTCGAAGTTTTCATGGAACGAACCAAACTGTAATTTGAGTCGACCTAACTTAAGTTAACTTTATAGGACGCGTGGAACCAATCAACTGAATCAGATCAGTAATAAAATTATTTTCTCCCGAACGATTTTAAATACATTTATATCGAACAATTTTTTTAAAATTTATTAGTTTAGTTCCTCACATGTGAAGATCGACGTTTGTCCCGGAGACGATCTTCGGACGCTCTGTCCGTCTGAACGTGTTGGACGATCCAAACTCATTCAGACGAACTTAACTGAGCCAGGCGTCGCTAACAACGTTTCATGAACTTAATTCACTAAGTTTAGTTCGTCTCATGAAAAGTTCGACGTTTGGCCTAGGCCTTTTTTTCTCTTTGTTACGCACTATTTACTTCACACAAAATGTTTTGTATATTGCAGATGTATGTAAACCGGGCTGGTCATATTTTAATGGTATTTGTTACTCGACAAGCCATTCTTGCAAAAATTGGACCGAAGCTGAGAAAACCTGCCAAGCATACAGCGGCAACCTCATCACTGTGCGGAATCAAGAAGAAAACGTCTATATTCAGCATCGGCTGAATGGTGCAAAGGGCTGGATTGGTCTAAACGATAGGGTAATTGAGGGTGCTTTTGACTGGGCAGATAATCAAACCAGTAACTTTTCATATTGGGCGAAGAACCAACCAAACAACTTCAACAATGAAGATTGCGTTCACACTTTGGGAGTCAGACATAGTTTTATGTGGAATGATGTAAACTGTGGTACTTGCCATAACTACACCTGTTCAGAAGGTTTGTGGTTGACTTACCTCTTATATACCAACAGGCGTTACTATTACTGGCAGTACAAACTTTTGTGGTAACAATTACACAATAATTTGCGAAAAAAAAAAAAACCTGGGTAAAAACGATTTGATAAAAGTGTCATAAAAAATAAATAAATGCTACAGGCTTTATGGGCCTCTTAATTACAAAATAAAAATGTTTATAAGTTATTTATAAGTTAAAAACCATCGTTCATATAGCTGTCCATTTAGTTATGGGATACAAAATTAAGTTCCTGTTAAAATAGGTGTCCAAAATTCCTATAGATATCTAAGCGCTCAGCTTGAACATTCTAGCAATGTGTAATGAACTAGACAGGATTGCCTTTTGCATTTTGCGCATAATTGATTAACACTTGTCTCCTGCAAGGTCTTTTATATTTTGCTCAACCTCTTTCGAATAGCCCCCAAGGACATGCAAGATAATGTTATACTGATTATACTGATTTATTATTATTATTATTTATTATTATTGATACTGATTTATTATTATCATTCACTAGTTCCTATTCTGTTCCTATTATTCATTAGTTCCTATTTAAAAGCAATTTCCGAAAAGTGATTATAAAACTACTTCCTCATTAAAGGGTTTTCGCTTGACCTCATTTTGAAAATGTGGGTTTCCATAAATCGAAAATGGTCTATATTAACGTTTCCAGGCATTAAGAGTTATTTTTATCTATTTCAATTGTATTTTCTTCCTTTCTTATTGCCAGAGAAGATCCTAATTGACTTTCACCAATTTACACCTCGATAACCAATTGCTGGTTTTCAGTGTCACGGTGTTCAAAATAGATCAAAATAAAAATGAAAACCGTTCAATAGATAAATCTGGGAAATGAAAGGAGGTAAATATGCAAAGACCCTCGCCAAGATTCAGTTCATAGGAATATTTCGTATACGAGATATCCGAAGAAATGTTTTACCCAGATTTATAGAGATTCATATGGAGACGCCATGCTGGTGCCCAAACGGATGGGCACCAACACGGCGGACGGAAACCAACAGAAACATCTGTTAGCGAGTTTTGCTATAAAAGCTTGAATTTATTCTTCGAGGAACTAATAAACATTAAAGTAATACTTTTTCTAATACATGAACTGTTTACATGACAAAACTCCCTGAAATAAGTCATTTTTTTAGCCTAGCTACATGACAGCTCTCTTGGCCGTCATGTAAATGCTGGGTCACGCAAAAGCTTAGGAATTCAAGGGTACTTTATCACAAAACCAAGAACCCTCTTGAACCGAAAATTTGTATGAAAATTAGCTTTCAGCTGCTCTAATACATCGTGAAAGTAAAATCTCGGTAGGATTGACAGTTTTGTAGTTTGTATTTTAGTGACGTCATATGAAAACCAAAAATAGGCCATTTACACGATGACGTCATTTCTCTACTACCCAGAATCCTTCAGGGTATTGCTTTCTTATGAAAATTATGGCTTTTGTTATTCAAACCTCACCAGGATTAGCAAATTTAAATATGAAAGAGAAAACGAAATGAATTCTGAATTCTGGTCCCAGTAGTAAAAAGGCGTCGTGGTGCAAATGGCCCATTTCTCTGGCTTCTTAGCTGACAAAAAGTTTGAGTTTACCTTAAATCTGTTTGTTGCAGAAATAGTATAAATTACAGGATTAGTCTACAAAGAAAAATAGGCACTACTTGTACGAAAAAGAAAATTAGACGTCACAAAAAGGATCCATAAGCTGGCGCTTTTAGCACTGCATTTAGCACTGCTTTTTTAAAAAAGTTGATTGACAATCGATCGTTTCATTATTTGTTTTGCGGGTTGATTGACTAAACGATTGTTTTATATTCGTTTTTCAATTAGATTTTGATGAATGTGGAGGAAACAATAACCATTGTCATCAGAACGCCATCTGCACAAACACTATTGGCTCCTATAGCTGCCGCTGCTCCGTAGGATATGCCGGTGATGGCTTGCTTTGCAGAGGTATTATGTTCGAAGCCCCACGTTGCAGTTTTTCGTTTAATTCATGAAGCGAATTTCTAAGGTAGAATAAGCATGCTTTTACCGTAAAATTGCCTGAAAATTTGTTTTTCAAATAGCTCTTTAGAGGGGTTTAAATACGGAGCAGCGTATTATAGTAGAAAAATAAGCGTTTAAACATAGGCTGGCACAAATTAGGAGAGAGATCTCAGAAACTTTTTTATTCCAATTTCAGAGATTGCAAAATTTGGACATTAACCTAATCTCTATGAACAACCCTGAGCAATGAAGTTTATTAACTATCCTAATTTTATAACTTGTAGAAATACAGACCATACTAAAGTTTTAAATACAGCCCAAAAAGGGAATTAAAGTACGTACGTGGATTTCCCTACAATTTCAAAATCTAACCTCTCATAGACTGCGTAGCTTTCCGCTCTGGTTACAACTTTCTCAACAAACCCGAGCGGGGACGCTTGTTAGATCCAGTTATGCAAGCTTAATCTTTCGGGGATAATTTTTTTTGCTTCAGATATCGACGAATGTTCTTCAGGTCACCAGTGTGACAGCAGTGCGACATGTTATAATACAGATGGATCCTACACCTGCACATGTAACAGCGGCTTCACGGGGGATGGACGAACCTGTCGAGGTACGAGTATTTGAATAAATAATTAATGCTATAAACGACAGCTCTGTAAAACTTTTTGATTAACTAGGTTGGCTGCCAATAGGTGACATCATACGTAAAAGAAATCCTCTCATGCCACACAAAGTGATTCAATATCTTCCTAATTATTTCACGCCCTATTTCAAACATGTCCATTCTTCACATGGTCATGGTCTGATTAGATCCGCCGCCCATAACAACTCTGTCAAACCACTCTGTCAAAGAAAATCAGGACTTAAGCCTGGTTTTCATATGATCTTCCGGATCGTCCCGATCGCCCCAGTCGTTTCAAAATATTTCGAGACGATGCAGACGACTGGGGCGATTGGTAGTTTCCATATGATCGTCTCGATCGCCTCAAAGGCAAGACACGCTTGGTCGTCAGCGATGTCTCTGGGTCAGACAATAGAATTTTTGCGCGTGTTTTGCATACAAGCCACATAAATGGATGATTTTTATTCGTAAAGCGAACCTCGAACCTTGGTATCTGCTTTTTCTCTTGATTTTGCGGTATTGAGAAGCTAGAAGAGTTCCCCGAAGACATAGTATCTCTTCGAAAACTTGATGTCACGGACTTTCTCTAATTTCAAATAACCCCCATACGCGCTGCGAACATTTGTGCATTATTTTTTTGGCTTCAGCGCCATCCGGGCCGAATTTATTCTCCATTACCGGAATAAAAGTGATGACTTCTGGGATAGCCTTCGGTCGTCCCGATCGTCTCAGTCGTCTGAGAGCGTTTCCATATGATCGCTTCAAAATTTACATGATCGTCCCGATCGTCCGGATAGAACTCAACTCTATCCAAGCGATCGAGGTCGTCTCAGTCGTCCGGGTCGTCTGCGATCGTCTGGGTAGCGTTTCCATATGATCGTCCCGATCGTCTGAACATTTTTTGAGACGACTCGGACGATCGGGACGATCATATGGAAACCAGGCTTTAGGAAGTGTCCCTCAAGTACTTGTCGCCCGTGAAATAAATTAAGGCCACCCGTATAGACACATAGTTTCCCACACAATGTTCAGAAAAGCACAACCGGATAGGTTTACCAAGTACAACGCCTCGATAGAACATTTTACGGTTTTCAGATCTTGTTACAAGTTTATAGCAGTTGTAGAATTTCTTTATTAGAGAGATTAAGATTCCCGTTTACGCCAATCGGCAGACGTGAATTTCTACCACGGGACCAAGTTTCCCCCATATTTTCAGTTTACTCTTTACTGCTTGTACACAAAAATAAGTATTTTTATGCCAGTTTTAACCATAGGAATAGTCCGGAACTGTCTGTCTGCTTATTTTCTATTCTGGGAAATTCTCAACTTTAGCCGTTTGTGGTAAACTTGAATCATAATCTCTCTATTATATTTTTTTTACTAATGGCTGTAGTGGAAGGGCCATTATAAGAACTACCCAATGGTAGTAATGTTTCCACCCTACGGTTAAATAAAATTTCTTGTCTTGTTCTTGTTCCCGTTGTTGTTGTTGTTGTTCTTCCTCTTCTCTTGTGATGTCGTTCACTTACACATTGGGGGATTAGATGGGGGACGACCCGTGCCCCCTCCTTATTTTTAGGCTAAACGCTGAAGCCCGTAGGGTTGAGTAAAATCATTTTCTCGACCGGGCCCTCCACCTACTTGCTAAGCTGAATCCGTCACTGCGGTACTTACAGTCATAGAATTAAAAAGCCATCTCCTCTCAGTGGTCTACCACAGTACTGTTCTTTTTTAGGCCTTGGAAAGTTCACTCCCATGACTATGACGTTCGTGTACAAAAAAGAAGGTCCAGCTTAAAACAAATAAAAGTTTCATTATCTTCCAGATGTTGATGAATGCTCGTTCAACGGCCATGACTGCGACTCCAATGCAATCTGCACTAACACAGAAGGGTCATTTACTTGCAAGTGCGACGTGAATGCGCATTCCATTGGTGACGGGAAAACATGCACTCCTCATCGTAAGCCGAACTATATGTTCTACTTCAGTTTGTTCCATTCGTTTCTCGTTTTTATATCGAGTGTGACCACTTTGACAACTGTTGATTTCTAGTTTATGGGAAAAGCTTTATCCGCCAATAATTATGTCGCCAAATAACAACTCCTGCCTATTTTTTTTGTCGAAGAATATACTATAATACTGAAATTTCAAATGCGCTTAAAGCGAGATTTGCTTGTTTATTTTGTTGGTTGCTTCTGACTTTCTTGGGTTCTTTAATTTTGAGCGTATTTCAGGCTGATTTTTTCACTGATTTTTCTTTAAGTACGTACAGCTAAACTGGAGTCGTTGCCAGTTTTTGAAAATAAGGCAACTTTGAAAGTATGAATTTCTGACTTACTTTCTTTATACTAGGTGGCCTCGGTGATTCCGTTATTTTAGGGAACGATGCTAGCATGATATCACAGTTAAACACCTGGCTTCTTCCACACTTGCAAAGTCCTGACAGAAGTTACTGGAAACTGTGTTATAGAGCTTCCATTCATGGTTGGAGATCACGGACCTTTCACAATTATTGCGATAACAAAGGTCCCACTGTAACCATTATTAGGGTCGGGATCTATATTTTTGGAGGCTACAACGACAATTCTTGGAAATGTAAGTCTGGAAATATGAAAGTATACTAAGAGGGTTTCTACTGGTTGAAATTCAAGTCATCACCCGCCCTCTCCCGGCCCCCTGTCCCCATCACCCCAGTGTACAAGGGAGGAGGGGTGGGGCCTCTGCAATTTTCTCCAGTAGTTTAAAACAACTTTTTCAAAACCTCTTACCTCTTTAACGAGTTGCCATATCTCTCGCTGGAGAGGATTGTGAGGTCTACGTCAAAAAACATCTGCGTATAGGAGGCTGACTAAATTCTCGCAACCTGACAATCTTCTCTCAAGTCGCAACATCAGTTTTTGTAGCATTTTTAGGAAAAGCCGTTAACGAGCTGTGACAAGTGTTTAAAGTGGTACAGTATTCAGGAGTCTTTTAACGTGCAACGTGCCGGAAAATTCCAGGACTCAGTCGCCTGACCGGAAGATTTACATTGCAGGCAGGTGGGGAAGGTGTCTCCAAGGCCAAGGAAATCGGTGGTTCAGCCGGCCTGCCAGTATTACGTCACGTCTCGCGTCAGTGACTTTCAAAATGGCGAGCAAAGTGTTCATCGAGGGGACGGATTAAATTTTTATTCCGATTTTTACTGTTTCGATTTCCTGGATTTGGAGATTTTAGATTGTTATAGAAAACTAAACTTAAGAACTTTTTTGGAATGAAACGTCCAGTGGTGTAATAAATTTTAGGTTAGTTAATGTTACAGTTAATGAGAAGCAAAGGAGTATAAACAACTGGCTCATGGCAAACAAAAAAAATCAAATTTCTTTATTTTCACACCCTATATCAAAAACGTATTGATTACGATGTAAACATCAAAATCTCTGATTACAGCGCAAACTCTCTTGTTTCCTCAGAAAGGAAAGAATTTTAAGATACCTTTGTGTCCCTGATTCAAAGTTATCTTGGACGCATCATATTACATATATTTCTAACAAAATCAGCCAATCATTAGGCATCCTTGCAAGACTAAGGTATTTTGTCCTTTCTTCCACTTTATTAAACATATATCGTTCTCTTGTACAACCTTACTTGCCCTATGGTATAGAGAAAATTTTGATTCTTCAAAAACGGGACTTCGATTAATTCATTTAAAACCCTTTAGGTTCCACGCTGGTTCAAATTGTCTTATGTCTTTTCTTTATTTTAAAACAATCTGCCTTGTTATGCACGATGGTCTCAGTAATGTAACACCTCCAAACGTTTCCAACTTATTTACTTATTCTTCAAAAGTACATTACAATGATACACGATTTTCTGCGGCTGGCAATTTTTATATTAAGCACTCGAGAAAGAACCATATGAAGAACTCCTTCTCAAGAATTGGTGCAAACATATTTTGGAATAGTCAGGGGCACCCAACGAAAACATAGTTCAAAACCACTTAACCATAGCATTTTTGAACGTATTTTAGTATTTAAACGGTAGATATAGGCATATTTTTATCCCCTAAAAATTTTTCATCTGTTCGAATTTCCTAGCTGAGAGTCTAGTGATCCGAAAATTATATGGATCAAAACTCACCTTTGAGCCAGGGGAAAGGCTCCCGAAAATTCTAAGTGAGCTTTTTAGAGTAAAATTCCGTTAAAAGTAGGCAATTATACCAGTTTTTAGATGTTCGAAAATCCTAGGAGAGGCAGGCAAGAAAGAAATTTTAAAACAAATGTTCCGAAAATTCTAGATCTCAAATTGTCTACCGAACAGATATTTTCCGAAAATTGACGTTGGGTCACCCCTGAATAGTATTCCCGACAGCGATCGTGCTCTACCTAAATATAAATTTAAGAAAACCCCACAGAGTCGGCTACTGGATATTTTGATACAAGAAGATACTTACGTTGGCGCGCGTATTTAATTGACGTATTTGGTAAATATTAAATTTTCAGTTTAATGACATTCATACAGTGTTTCATCTACCTATTTTGAAATATATGCATTCACTGAACATGTCTAGTTAATTCAATATGTTGATGTTCATGTATCTGTTTAACTTTATCGTTAGTTTCAACCCTATTATTGTAACTTTTTTATTATCCTTCCCACCTCGATTAGCTATGGCTACTTTGCGGGCAAGTGATCTGAAGGATCAATTATGGCATGCATCCAAAGTGTTTTTAATAAACTTGAACTTGAACTTGAGCCTTGAATTTTAAAGATTCCTTGCTATCGTCGAGCAAATTTTACGGGCAATCATACCGACCGGTCACAGTTTTGGGGGCCAGTGCACAGCAAGATTGAGGAAATTAGACACAGCAATAGGAGGCTCATCAAAGGATTTATTATACTTTACATTGTGCGCTCACTCGTGAAATATTTTTCAACACTCGAAGAGAAATTTCGTATCTCCAAATGGCCATGTAATGTTCTATTTATTACATAAACACCAATAAAATGCCAAAATGCCAAATCATTTCAGCTAAATATTTTTTGCAACGAAAGGCTCGATTTATTATGTGGCCATACCAACAGTGATCTTTTCACGTGTAAAGATATCATGTTTTCACGCGAAAGCTCACCTGGTATTTCATTGGTGTTTATATCAAAACAAGTTTTCTCTGCCATAGACGCTGTTGGGAGCTGGTGGAGCTGTATTTGTCATAAATACAAATATACATTTGCGGAAAATTAGCTTAAGCGCGTATTTCAAAGCTATTAGGGAATGGAGGATCCAACGACGCGAACGACAGCGAGAACGTCAAAAAAACAATAGGTTTAATAAGCAAAACAACAACTTCGCTCGTGCATCACACTTTTTTGTACATTTCTTTCCCGTTTTTGCACGACTGCGACGTGAAAATGCCTAATTTCGCGTTTTATAGAGGACGTAAACAAGCAACAACGAAATTTTTTTCTCTTTCCGAGCTTGAATATGGTCCCTTGAAATTCAGCTTCAGGAGGGTTCGCCCACATTTGACAAAGTAAGTGGTTAGGAATAATCGCTATAAAGACTGAAAGAACGCAAATTCACCTTTTAAGCGACGTTCTTGTCGCCGTCGCGTCGTTGGATCTTAAAGTCCCTATTTCGCATTATTTCGGGTTCAACGGGCCGATCTAGCTTTACTGAATTTGGTGGAGAATTAGGAGATCAACAGAGGCCTACACTCGAAAGGATGTATATGAAGTTAGGCCGGTTTAATTAGTAAGAAAAAATAGATGAAATATAAACATGTGGGATCTGTGAATGGAACCTCCGGTTCTGGAGACTAGATCTTGCCTATTTTAGAGAAAAAGGTTTGATGACGGTCCCGTGAAACCGGCAACAGGACCCGCAAAACAAATTAACAAAATTATACATTTACGGACACAAAATATCAGCAACACCAAAGCTCACACCCATTCGATCAAATTAGCGATACATCGCGATATTTGCTAGCTTCTTAGCTTTTCCTCGACCTCGCTCGTCCTAATAAATGTGGTATCCCTTGCTAATTTGCACTAGCGACCTGAGGCTATTGCCCATTACTATGTGACGTCACCCTGGCAGACGGAGTGGGTCTAGAAACGTACTAGGTGGAAAAACAAGTGGTACAATTTAACCTGGAGAATCGTGAGAGCTCGAGTCACTAGACTAGGTTAATGCTCACAGTGAAGTAAAGGCGATGGTAAATTGTAACCCTAATAAATAAATCAGAATCGGACAATTAACCTGTCAGTAACACAGGCCACGCGGAATAAAAGTCCGAAGTGAAACCTATGACCTCCTGGTTAAACCAAGTGGATAAAACCTTTCTTCATCTTCTTAATGGGTTTATAAGAGTCAGAGAGAGGGTTTGGGAAGTGGGGTGGGGGTGGGGGTGGGTGCGGTTGTGGTGTTTGGGTGGCGGCTTCATAGAGGGGATTACGGTCAGGCTTCAGGCACTTTAGAATTCAGTTTGGCCGTTTTGAAATCTTTTTGGACTTGGAATTTATTAACGTTGAATGTATAGGAAGTAACCGGACGATGGTTGCGTAAAATTTCTTATCAACGAAATCGCTGCATAAGGCTCAACATGTGATTTAGACCAACGGAATCCCAGATTACACACGTTTCGAAAAGCATGTAAACTCTTTACGATTCTTGGATTCTCGTTTGATCGCTACAAGAATGGCCTGACTGAATTATATTCGCTGTCGTTTAATTTGTTAGAAATAGCCCAAAATCATGAAAGAAAATTGCCTTTTACATTGACAATAATTTCTTAGTCAAATACAAATACATGAAGTCTGCTCTTAGTGATTTAATTAAACCACCACCCTGTCACTGTTTGTGTTCTGTTTTTGTCTCTTCAGGGTCTGCTGGTTATCAATATTCCACAAACGCCTTTATATACTCACTGAAAAATTACTACGGTTATGGATATTTTAAAAAGGACATAAGCCAAGGCGAATATAGCTACGCCACATACAGTCAGTACGACTGTGGTCCAACCTTTGGTAGGAGCCATGATTTTGTAATTGCAGACAACGCAGGATACAATTATAATTCTGACTTTGATGATTGCAAGTCTTACCTCAGTCCATATTGCGACTATCGTGTCTGGGCTGGAACGCAAAGGGGAGATAATTTTCGCCCAAATGAACTGGAGGTTTATTATGAAGTGCTCGTTTGAAACCGTGCGGCAAATAACTTTAAGGGACCCAGCAACTAACGTGTGAAAACTTTTCCTTCGGAGAAGCTTCACATTTGGAACTTCAAGTCGCTTTATCACAGATCAGAAGCTTTATTGCTGATAGAATTGAATAGTAAAATCACTAACCACTGTTAGCCTTAGCACTACTAGTTTTGTCGTTACGATGGACCAGGAGGGACAAGAAGGTGTTGTACATGAGCTATAAAGAGTGTTTATTTCATGACTTATTTGTTGCCTGGGAAGGGTAATTTCATGGAAGGAATTTACCTGTAAGCGATTTTTCCTGGTAGAAGTTATTCCATAGGACTTCAATGGAATCTTGAAAAACATCGTGTAACTTGACCCATTAGCGAGTAGAATCTCATTTACCTCGTATTGGTGTTTTATCGGCACGGTTTAACGAGTTACGTACAACTGTTTGTTTGTAATATGGAAGAGAGCTCGAGTAAAAATTCAAATCCTTTTTCAAGTGGCTCTTTCTCCCTATACAATGTAAACTACCGTCTTAATGCTTTGGAAGGATAGTTGCCCAGCACCCCTTCCCCGTCTTCAACTTCCCTATGAAATTTTATGTGTGGATTGAAACTGTTTAAATGTTTGGTCAATTAATCGGATTCAATATTGGTGGATCAAGGTAGAGATGTCTGTACCATTATCTTTACCAAAACTCTCAATCGATGGCGTGGTACCTTAAAGGCGCATCGTTCGATGTTCTCCATCTACAGATTCACCACCGTGGGGAAGATACCAAACCTGTAGCACTTTTAAAACGAAATACACCGTAATTTTTATAACTGAAAACATGGAGTAAAAATTTTAGGTACAGGATAACCACTTTTTGGGGGTTACTTTAACTCCTAATTTAACTCCGAATTTGGGGTCATTTTTACTCCTGAAAAAGAGTTCTTTTTACTCCCAGTCTGGAGTTAAAATAACTCCGAAATGGGGTTATTTTTACTCCCTACATGGGTTGTTTTTACTCTTTTTGGAGTTAATTTAACTCTGAAAGTGGAGTAAAAAATTTAGGTACAGGAAAACTCCTTTTTTGGGGTTATTTTAACTCTTCAATATCTGGGGTCACTTTTACTCCTGAAAAAGAGTTCCTTAAACTCCTTTTTGGAGTTAAAATAACTCCCCAAAAAATAACTCCACTATAACGAGTTAAATTAGCCCCACTGGAGGAGTTATTATAACTCCTTGAAAATTACTGTGTATATGTAGGTCTAAGCCTTTACCAGTAAGCATTCTTTTGTAAGCGTTCATAACGCATACAGGTTCTGATTTATGCGTCCGAAAAGTGCAGTCGGAACAAAGCCTGAACAAAAGCCTTTGCTAATTTAAGGCAACAATCAGGCCTTTTGTCACGCCTTCAAAGACTTCAGAATATATAGCTGATATGAGCTGTGTGGTGCGACCTAGTGTTGCCTCCCCGAATATAACGGAGATCAAAGATCTTATATATGTTTCCTCTATCTAGCGATCCTTGTTGTCATTATTTCGACAACTCGAAGCACGATTCGACTTGCGCCGAAGCGAATGGGCAAGCACTGTTCAAAATCAACACCCTGGGCTCCCTTGCTGGTCTACTGGACAACACTGACCCAAAGTAAACCTCCCCCGCTGCTCGAGGGCTATACCTTGCGTTCACATAAGCCGATCGCAAGTCGCCAAAGCGAACCCCACCATTGTGGCTTAGGATTCATTCCCAAGCCCAGAGTTAATTCCTCTCCAGGCGTTTCTGATAGTTATCTTTAAAATAGTTATTATACACAGTAATTTTCAAGGAGTTATAATAACTCCTCTAGTGGGGTTAATTAAACTCCTTACAGTGTAGTTATTTTTGGGAGAGTTATTTTAACTCCAAAAAGGAGTTAAAAGAACTCTTTTTCAGCGTTAATGTAACGAAACACCGTTGATCCCAAACTCCCATGCTTTGCATGACAATAACGAAAGAAGGAGTCAACGGTTTCGGATCCAGGGCCCCGTTCCTCGAAAGGTCCGGTAGATTTTCGGGCCCGAAGGCAAATGTTAAAATCAAAACCTGTTGAATAGTGGCCCAGTTCCTGACGCACAAACCAATTTTGCTTCGTTAACTGATAGTTTCACTGGACAGTGCATGAAACCTTTATACATGTAGCTTCCGAAATTTCGCAGGGACTCGAACAATAGATGCGCCGAAATTTCGCCGAATTTCCGTCTGATAGGAAAGTTCGCAATTTGTTCGCAAAAATTCGCGAATTTCGCGGAATTTCGGCGAAGTTCGCTCTCACTTCTTTTGCACGGTACTGTATAACGAATATATCAATAATCGAGGTTGTTTTTCATGTATTTGCTGGCGAACCCTAGGCGAGACAGCACACTATTCTGTTAAAAAAGCGGGAAAAAGGCAAAATTTGTTCGGATGTAAGAACTGAAGCATGTGCAGTCGATTGATTTCGTATTATAATATCTGGGGTATTCACTCCTGTGCGAAGACATCAAGCAAAACGCACGTGGACGAGATTGAGGGAGGTCGGGTACATTTTCAGAGTTTACTAGTAGGCAGCTTATAAACGAGGTGAGCGTTTAGGAAATTCCTATATGTATTTTCTAGATGTTGTTTTTTCACATCAAGGTGTCCGCGATCCAGATCGCTTTAGTGATAAATCTCGAGGAAGACGACAGATTTATAAGCTTATGTGTTTGGCTGCTTCATTTGTACGATTCGCGAATACATGGAATCGCGACGGATTAAATCCTCCTTCTTTGCGCATTCAACAGAAGTGATGTGCCAGTGAAAAAAAATCTTCTGTTCCATGCATCGATATCTTCGCACCTCCATTCGAGAATCGACAAAACTATTGACACAGTAGAGCAGCCAACCACATAAACAGACCTTGTCTGCTGAGATTTTTGTCAAACTTTCTCTTTGAGAAATTTAATACATGTAGACTGCAGAAGTGAAATAAAAAATGGGGGTCTCCATGCTAACTACTGAGATATGATGGGTGCGAATACCCCCATCTTAGAGTATTTGTTGCCAATTTATGCTCAGTCGTTTGACTATAGTTTCTTAAATTGTAAAGCCAAAATTAACATTCAGAGATACATTAAAGAACCCCAAAAGCCATTGTGGTAGGCACTCTTGGATATTGAGCAACGTTTATGGTTACCAAACCCAAAGTAAAAATTATGTTTTCAGACGACATTTTCTCTATTTTTTCACATATTTCCAAAATTGAGAATTTGCTTATTCTTTGTCTATGTTAATTTTTGTGCCAAAAGGATTAATTAAAATGAAAAAAAATGATGGATTACCACGCTTGATTTTTGATTGGTGTAACATTTTGGTGCTCAGGCGCCTCTCACAAATTATATCAAATTTTGCCACAGGGACTATTTGGGAATTTACAACGACAAAAATAAAGTCACTCTAGGAAATACTCTGCAAGAATTAAGTTTACATATATAATTATTGGTATAATTATGTTATCAAAAATACAAGGCCGTACAAATCTTTTCAAAAGTCCTCTTATATGTTTTTGTGACTGTCTCGTTATTATAAATAGTATAAATTTTTTAATAAGGTGGTCTGTTGTCATCCATGACGATAAATTATCGTGCCTGTTTCGTGCCTCCACTGTGATCTTGCTCATTTTGTTCACAGTGCCAGTTACGCGTCCTTTTTCGCTATGAAACTTAATTATACTTAAGAAAGAAATAACTTGTGAATGACAGCTTTGTGTAAAACAAATACAACCAAGCTTAATATATCGTTACAAGCATAAAGGAAATATAGTAACAAGTTTCCAAAAACCTTAACTGCAATCCGTTACAATATTCTTCAAGTTTGTCCATCCGTGCTTCCTTTTGTATTTGCTGTGTCATTTATACCCTCTTTTCTTTTAACTATTTGAGCTGATATTTTCTATGCTTTACTCATTTTGGTGACGGTTCCCACAGTGAGCTGAAATACCACCGCTCTAAGCCAATCAAATTGCAGAAATTCCTCATGTAGTAGTATAAGAGTGATTATAAATTTCGGATTGTAACCGAACCCTGAACTGAACCCTGGGTGTGTTTCTTGGTTGGAACCTCTAGTTGGGACCCTTCCACCGAGACGTACATTAAAGAGAAAACCGTAAACGGCACAACAGCAAGCAACATTTTTTTAATTGAGCCGACAAAGTCAGGCTTCAAGCGTTATAGGTATGAGAGCTAAAACCACTAGCTAAAAGGACATGAGAGTGAAACCGTCTGCAGTACGCAGTGGTTTATGCCCAGACATTTTTCAGAGGATACTGTCACGCATTCTCAAAGCAGTCCAAATCAGTCTGCCACATCATTCCACCGTGTTGGCAGCTCTTCTTCCCAAGAGAAGGATACTTCAACACTCAGAGCGTTCACTTTACTGTGCTCTTCTTACAGACACTGGAAATCAGTGCCCCCTTAAATCACAGCTGCTACATATGGCTTTTCAAAATTTGCATTTAGTCCTTGTATGATTACCGCCTCCACACAAAAAGCTGGTGTAAGCCATCTTCTGGCTTGAAGACGGCAAAGTGCGACAAGCACCTTGTCTCTACGTAGGTTAAGCGCGTGAAGTTCCAAACTGTTATTTCGTTGAAACCGGCGAATCCTTAGAAACTGCATTCAGGCACTGGTTGCAAGGATTGTTGTTGTTGTGCTTGCAGGGTCTCCTTGGCCGCGATTAACCACCTGCAAGGCTTCTTTAAAGCTGCGTTCTTCAATCAGTAGCTTTTTGCGTGTAACTGGATTACGTTTGCCACACACGAACTGGCCTCGAAGTGCATATGAGCGACTTAAAAAATCACCAATTTTATAAGGTAAAGGCCAGATGCCTCAAACCGCCTGCGTTTTACTCGGGAAACACTTTCGCTTTCTTCCTGGAAACAATAACGTAACCTGTACAACTAAGCGACCTCCAGCCGCTTTGGTTTAAGGTTTTGCTGCGGTAAGTCCCCGGGGTACTTGCTCGAAAAACAGTTCCCATGTGCTCACCGCGCGCCTGCGCAGTACAATACTGAAGAATGATATCACAGCCGGAGCTATCATTATATATTTGATGGACACAAATTGCCTTAAGGAAATTCCCCTTTATATGATAAACTAGAATTAGTCGACACTACAGCTGCCCCGCTCTGTATATTGTCGGTCAACATTATACTTGCTCGTTGTGTAGCTCTTTGAAATATACCGATTCATAATGAAGATTTTCACTCATATTCCATACAATAGGTGATATAAATACAGGAAATGCAAGGTTCCATGCACAGTTTCAGTTCGATTTACACAGCTTTGATCAAAACATTCTCAGTTTCGAGAATAGTTTGTTCTAAACCATAAGAAAAGATTTAAGTAGAAGTTGAATTTTTCGCTATTTCTCTTTCACTTTTTACATTCAGTTCATTTTATTTGCCGGAACGTAAGCCTTAGAAATTAAAAGGACGTTTGATCAATTCACGCTCGCGCCAGCATTCTACTCTTATTTAAACTTTATGGCGGAAGGACATCTGTTAACAAGGTATAAGTCAGCACAGAATTTGATTGGCGGCGAATTTCTGTGATCGTCCATCGCTCTGCTAGTGATAAGCTAGCCGTTGTTCACTCTTCTTGCTTGTTTGGGGCTGAGTCTTATTCCGGTCAAAGAGAGAGAAGGAGTGTCTGGCAAGGCTTCCAATCAAAGATTTGTGAACTCGTGTCTGGCAAACTCTCCAAGTGTTTATAGCGGAGCTCCTCGCGCGCGCGAAGCGCGCGCAGAGCGGAGCACCATGGGTAAGAAAATTTGGTAAACTATCCATCTGAGAAAATTTGGTTATGACGTAGCGTAGCAAAATCGATCCATCTTAGAAAATTCGGCAATCACGTGACCATACACCGACCACCCGACCTTCCGTCCGTCCGCACCACAGGTATACCAATGTTTAATCTCACACTTTCTATCTAGTTTGGGAGCCTGCAACCTGATATTGTACCTCTATGTTTTGATTAATTGACAGCTGTCAAAATAGTGTTTCTGCTGACCAGTATCGCCTGTCCCTATGGCGGGCTCAGGTATCGACCCACTGAGTTCGAGTGTTTTTTTAACGTATCCGCTGACAGGTTGCTACTTTTCAACTATCGCATGCTCAAGTTCAATTTTTTTTAAAAAGCATATGAAATAAGTCGAGTTCATGAGCCGCACTTTTAAAATGTTGATTTCGAACTGACCTCGGACGCGAAAATTCAACCGGCTTTTACATTGACATGCGGGAAGGCAATCATTTTTGACTTTTCTCACTGTCACGCGTTGATCACGCTCTACGTCCAATTTTTATGTTCTGATTGGTCAAAATTTAACAGGTGAGTTCATGCGGAAAATTTATGCAGCGTCTGGAAACTTGCTTACTGATGGCTGGAGCTTACAGAGTTTTGTGTCATCTTGTGATGTTTTAAACTGGCTTTTTCTACTTGGTGTACAAAACGAAATACAGCTGCTATCAAGATTGTTCTGTAATTCATGGCTGGTTTGTTTATTGCGCTTTTTGTTGACAAATGCACCGCTTGTCTCAAAGTCATTGGAAATCCGATTTCGGATGGCATCGTTTTCAAAAATGAGCTTACTCACTTGTCCTTGCTTGAGGCGTAAGAGGGTTGAAAATTCTGGAACACTTGATGACCTTCAGAAGCAGCATTTCGACTGGTAAGCGTGAGAAATTGTTGTCTTTGATTTGTTTTTTATTTTCTTCGGTTTCCTGAAGTCGAGCGTATGGTTTATGCGGCTTAAGTTTATACACGAGCAATGATCTAACCTACAATAGTATCAGGTTTAAAAAGCCTTTAGAAATTTTTTGACCGCAAATTCAAAGAAAATGTTCGGAAGATTATTTACTTATGATTTTGGCTGTAAACAGAAAGCTCTGAGCGATTTTCTTGCCTCGAGTTCATCTTGAAAAAGAGCAAACACCGGGAAGCCGGCTTAAAACATAAATAAACTTATGCTTACCTGACTCATGATTTTCAAAGACACTTTACTCTCAATACTTCTCTTCGTGAATGAAAATTATTGTCTCTGTACATGTTTCACCGAATTATATTTATTTTATTGATTGTTAATAGTCCCTCTCGCAATTTTTATCGCTGCACCGGTTGTATCCAGTCGAACATAAACATCTCATGCAGGAATACTCAAAACGCCGCGCGTAAATATCACTCGCTTTTAGAGATTACACATACCAAAACCATACACAGTTTAATAAATAAAGGGAAATAAAACCTAAACATAACAATTTATCTATCATGTTGAAGCGTAAATGGTAACTCTCAATCGCACTGCAAATTTGGTGCCTGTCAAAAGTGAGCCCCGTCCGGCTGGCCGAAAAGTGATTTTGGGAATTTGTTTATCGTTTTCATTATAAGCCCATATTACCCTGCGTATCACATAGGACCAGATTTTTCTAACTGAAAGTCCTAGCATTATAGAATTCTCTTCATGAAAACGTTTTATAATTCAATGCTATAATTTCTTGTGCAAAGGAAGGGCGTGCTTTGATCGTCGTGGATATTGAATGAGTGCAAATTCTCTTGCAAAATTGTGAAAAACTGCAGAATTATAGGTTTAAATAGGGCAAAAAAGAACAAAGTCTGTCCGAGGTCTGTATGATAAAAACAAGGGCCTCATAGTACTGTTTACGTGAGACGAGATGAGAAAAGTATGTTTAAAAGGCTGGTTTACACACCACCAGATTCGTCGCGAAGATTTACTAGTAAACTAAACTTGTCGAACACAAAAAAATCCGGCCTGCTTTTTTATTTTGGCCTCTCTTTTAGACAGAGGAATGCAACGTGTAAATTGGCTACCACCAAGGACTATCATGGCGCGTGTGTTTCTTAAAATTATATTTCGGGGTTGTCCAATTATCCATAGTCTCTCAAACGGAGCAATGTTGGAGAGAGTGGTGAATGCCACATTATGATGCAACAGCTAATGCAAATACAATACACGAATAGGTAGGTCTATTTGTTTTCCAGGCCTAATCTACTGTGATCGAACATGATTGCTATTTTTGGATGTACAAGTAAGACTATTTAATGACTCGATGTAAAAGCTGTTTCACTCTTGGACTGTCAAATTATTTTTCTCTAAAATCACTTACCCTTTGCCTCAAACTTCAAATGAATGTGCCGTGATCTGTGGATTACAAGTTTATTGTTTGATTTAAATTATGAATTTATTAACGGGAGCTTCGCTTTTAGCCCTGGCTAAATCTATATATTATATACACATTTATACGCACCTTAAAACTTCATCTGCGCTTAACCAGTGTCTTGTGGTCCATAACTTTCAAAAACACTGCTCCCCAAACGCTTAACCCAAAATAGTATCGAAGTATCATCGCACAATAAATTTCACAAAATCTACCTAAGCGGTCCCTTCGGGATTTTCCGTATTTACGTCATCCTAACCATTTCGTACTTGCGGGAGCAAACAGTAGAAACGTCATCATTACCTATACCGATTCCTCGCGGTCCCTGTTCAAGCAAATCGAGATTTTTTCTGGCATGCTGATTGTATATTTCAACTGTAAGTACTTTCCTTACTATACGCGCGAGTTACTAGTCAGAGTGGCGGAGACAATTATAGCAAGACAGAATAATTGATGTTGCAAAGAAAAAGCGTATAATTTTTGCATTATATATGAGACGTAAATCAACTTACAGATGTCTTAAGCCGACAGTAACAACAATCAGGCGGGCCTGTCAAGGTAACGGAACTAGTAACTAGCAACGTGAGACTACTGCCAATTTCAAAGAAAAGACTTAACGTGCTTTAAAATTTCCCAATAAAGAAAAGAGTATATCTAAAGTGTGTACTTTATAACTTCCAATGTGACCTGTGTGATGCAGGTTATGTACGATACACACGCGGACATTTACACGATCGTGTAAAAGGACATAAACAACAGTCCTCCGCCATTGCCAAACATTAAATTTTAATGGAGTCATGACTACTCCGAAACGTCGGATTTTATTGCTCGGCTCGTTTTTACCGTTTATGTCTTCAGAAATCTCTTTTAATAGGCATATATAATGTGGCTTTATTTATTTTTCATAAAAACCAATAACTTTTGACTTCCTGGGGAACTCTATATTTTATTTAAGAATGCAATTTGGTGCCCTCAAATATAAACAAGTTAATGTATCGCTTAAATAAAGTTTAACAGTATGTCTTTTTACACCAAAATTAGATCACTGGTTATTTTATTTTCAAAAGCCTTGAATTCCGGGCTCGTGAGAAAAATGGCGAGAAAAGCTTTACAAAATTAAACTAATAATTTGGAAGAGCGCACTTGCAAAATGCTGTTTAATGTTTTGTTCATGATTCTTTCGTTGAGATTGTACCAGTCCCATTATTGCTCTTGATTGTACTCATGGCGTTTGCTGAGCGAGATAAAAAAACTGAGGAAGAAGACCGAGTAGTTACCTAAAATTTTGAGATAGCTTGAACAAGCGCTTTAGTTCGCATCTGAATTCTCTGATTCTGGCAGCATAGACGAAAGGATTCCAAGCCGAGCTACTAAAAGCAAGTAGAATTCCCCATAACCAATGTCGGTAAACTAGCGCCTTCTCGCAGAAATCTCTCGTTCTTACGTCTATGGCCGAGAACACCACGTTTGGGAAAAATGTCATGAAAAATATAGAAACAACGATAGCCACTGTCCATGCTGCTTTCCTATTCTTTAGCATGTCGGCAGCTTCCATTGGACTTAGGCGACAGATATTTTCTTTTTGCTCATGTACTGCTTTAAATATCTGAAAATAGCTGTAAATTATTACTGCAAATGGTATGACGAATGTTAGCACAAGCGTTACAATCCAAAGAACAGATGCCTTGCCTTTATCCTCGAAAAACAAACTGGAACATCCGAACAACAACGATGTGATCCAAATTGAAACGATTGTTCGGTAACACCGCTTTTTTGTTATTATTTGTTTGTACCGAATGGCGAACGTTACGGCAATAAGCCTGTCGATGCTAATCGCGCAGAGAGTAAATGTTGATGTTACTAAACATTGAATCCAAAGAAAGTTTTCCAGTCTGTACACAAGGTGCGCGCTGAACCACTTCCTTGTGACAGTTAACGCGATGTAGACAGGATACACAACAAGGCCAACTTCAAGATCTGCAATCGCCAGCGATGCGATGAGGATATTTGACGAACTTCTCAGCGCACGTACTCTGTAGATGATCAACAAAACTGTAGAATTTCCGCCGATAGCAACCAAACTGAAAAGAGAATTAAGCAAAATAAATATCACACCCCAGTGGTGTGTTAAATTAGGCGAACAGTAATGATTTGCTTCTTCGGTCATGGCCCAGGCAGTGAGATTGCTGAGATTGTCCATGTTTAAGCATCAGCAACGAAATTCATTTCCTTGTTCATAAAATAACACGTTTTAAAATAAAACTTCCTTTGCCAGGTAGTATTCGTTTTAGGTTGAATTTCGAAACTTATATATGTTAATTTTTGCCTGGTTTATGTAAGTATTAATAACTTGACTTTTTGTCAAGGCCGACAAAGAACTCCGATTAGCGAATCTTACTCTGAATTTAATAGATGAAGCATCTGCGGTTCAGTTTTTAATCTGCACTTTAACCTGACAGCCCAAGTGTCTGGGCACTTAACTGTTCTTGTTTTATTGCAGTCATTTGATTACGTATTCAAATCCACTTCCAATAATTTTAAGTTATCGCCTATATCCTGTTCTTCGTATGTCTACACTGTAATTACATAATGCAAGAGGCGCGAACTCGTAATTTAGAGAATACCACTACATTTGTTGTGAATGGACTAAAGCTTTTTATTCCATAAAAGGATTGTACTTAAAAATTAACGGTGCATTTAAGGTGAAAGGTATTAAATTTCTTTATTATTTATTCAAAATATTTCCCTAATTCTAACTGGCTAAAAGCACACACATAATTCACCATAACCAGTTACTGATGACTAAGTTTGGAAGACTTTTGTGTTTAACGAGGAAATGACGTCAAAAATGCAGCCTTTTACAGGTTAATGCACCGTTAACCGAGAAGACCTGGGGACGAGACTGAGTTGTTTTCGTCGTAAAAACCGCTAAAATGGCGGACACTTCACTCGTTTCAAGAGTAAGAACTACAGCTGAATTTAGGCGAAATAATGGCTAAAAACATAGCAAAAACAGACAGAAGACAACTCGGAGAGCGACATCTGCTATTTGGAGAATATTTGCGGAGCTGGACAAACCCAAACGTAAACTATCGAAGATAAACTTAACATCGATGCAGGTAAGCTTGTTTTAGGTATGATTTTAAACTAGGCCTACGGCCTCGACGGATAACACCCTCCGAGATGTCCATAATTCTTCATAAGATACTCAGCCTCATTCATTAATTGTTAAGTAAGGTTTCGTGAAGCCTTTTTTGTCTTATAGCAAACGAAAACATTGGTACACGTTCCAGTTACTTGTCCAGCTCAATAATAAGGATTTTGAGGAGGTAGTTCAATAGCGACTGTTTCTTGCATTAGTCGCTTTCCATTCAGCCTTAAATTCCGGCAATTTTCGGTAGGAAATCAAATGCAACGGACCATTTTGGTTCCTTCCGACAGGAATATTTAGGACCACCTTGGAAGGCGGTCCACTTTGACCAGTCCAGTCATTTCGGTCGGTCGGACCGATACGTCCCTTTCCATTTGAAAAAGTTAATTGTTTTTCTTTACAACCGCTTTTCGGTAGCCTGCTTAAAAGTACAATAAGCAGACGCGACGTGGCTTGGGTAGGGTCTGTGCAACCAATGTTCATTTCCATTGGTCAAACCGGGATTTTTGTTCAATGGAAAGCGCCTCTTAATTGTTTCCATGGTCCTTTTTTGAAAATATTAGTTTCAGTTGTCTGACGACTCAATTTATTTATTTTCATATCAAGGACTTTGCCTTGAGAGTGATTCAATACGGAAACACCCAGCTATTTATAAGGATTCAATCGCGGCACCACTTTGAAGAAAACCAACTCCTTCCACACGGCCGCCCTAATAATAGCAAAAGATTTTCAAGTTGAGATGAAAAAGAAATGCCACGAATCGAAATATTTCTGCGGACAAACAAATATTTCTTTGAAATACCCTTAATGAGACATAACATACATGCCAGTGATTCAAGGTTGCAATTTTAGCTCAAGACCTGCTATTCTTACTGAAAAACCCTTCTTGTCTTTTTAAACAGGTGGCCCGTTAAATTACTGTGATCAATAAAAAAATCCATGAATCAGTTTTGATAACATCTAATAATGAAAAGATCAGTCTGTAAAATGTATTTTTTTTTAATATACTTTCTTGGCATACCAATGTTTTCTACTAGGTTAAAAGAAGCTACGTGACGTCATGCATGGCCCACGCGGTGAGGACATCTGCTTTTGTGCATTAGTAACGAAATTCATCTCCTTGTTCATTAAATAAACATGTTTTAAAATAAAACTTATTTTGCAAAATAATGTTAGCTTTAGGCCCAGGTTTGTCTCTTATGTATGCTAATTTTCGTCTGGTTTAGTGTCATAAATAACTTGAAAGCAAAAGATTACTTATTAACAAAGAATCGATCCGAACAGTTTATTTGACGCTAATGGAAACATCTGCGTTTAAATTAAACTACATTCGGCGACAAAATGAGTTGAGACAGTTCGTCCTAAATGGACTTTTTGACGTTTTCCGGACTTCAAAGGGGGAAAAGATAACGTTTCCTCCCCCATCCCCTCCATGCAATGTTGTGCCACTGTTCGAGCTACCTTTAGAAAACAAGAAACATCCCAATTTTGAATGGAGGGGACAGGAGAGGGATGTGGATTCTTATGTTTTAGAAGTTACCCTATTTGAGTACAATGTCTCAACAATTTTGTCGCCGATTGTAGCCTAAATTAAACTGATTGAATGTATTTGATGTTTAACTTGAAAACACAAATTTCTGTGTATTTGACCAGAAGCATAGAACCCCGAAGCGTCTAATTTCC